CGTCAATGCGCTAGCTAGGACTCGTCTTCAAGTCGCAACACTTTAGGATCTTGGTCTGGACATGAATGACTGTGACTATGACAGTCCTCGGTACAGTTTTGATTTATGGCGTGCTTCGCTGTTGACTCGGAGCTGATTCATTTCTTCAAGCTATATACAGGCCAAGGACTGCCATGCCATGCCAGAAGCGTTCAAGGGTTCTATGCTATATCCATCTCATAGGGCGAAATGTTTCCCTGGTTAGCGTCGCCATTAGAATCATTTTTTATTTCATGCCAGAACTCAATACGGTAGGCAATCTACTCGATTGTGACGCTATCTAACATGTCCTGGTGATAATTCAGATATCCAGGTAAATCATTTAAACGACCACCATGCGGCTGTCGGCGCGAGGCCCTTGGCTTTTTGGCTCGGCGATTTTGATAGCGACGAATCATCCTCTGATGACGTACAGCGATCACAGCAACCCAGGATAGAAAATTCAGGAAGTTCACCCCTGCGTCTCACGAGATGTAGAACCCAGCTTGCGAATGTCACATGGTCAATTGGGAGCCAACTCATATAAAGTGTTTTGATGATTGAAGAGCTGATCTTATCTCTCATTTGGCGTTCGAACAGCTGCTCCAAATGATGTTTCTTTCCAAGGCTTTCCTGTCGATCCTCTTTGTAGTGCTGTCCTCTGCGGACGCATCACCTTTACGCCCTGACGCTGGCAAGGCAACCCTCAGCTTTGCCGCCAGGGTGAACGTCAGGGGAGCTGTTAATATCGCTGCCGCCGACAGGGCTCGCGTTCAGGCGATGAAGCAGGCTGGTTCCATGGGCAAGCATGCTGACACCTCTTTCAGCATAACCAACGCTATCGTTACGTACACTGCCCAAGTTGGTGTCGGCAGCCCTGCCACTGAGTGTAAGATCGACCGTCAGCTAGCTCAGATAATTTCTGATTAGACGTTTATCAGACACACTCCTCATTGATACGGGCAGCTCCAACACCTGGTTAGGTGCAAACGCCTCATACAGTCCCACTAGTACTAGTGTGGATACTGGCAGCACTGTTGTATGCTGTTTCTCATACTCTGTTCGTGAAAAAATGTTTATGGCAACCTTGTAGGCCGTGTCTTATGGTTCCGGTAGTTTCTCCGGAGAGGAATACACGGACACCGTTCATTTGAGCGCTGGTCTGGTCATTGACGAACAATCCATCGGAGTTGCGAGCTCCTCACAAGGCTTTCAAGGCGTGGATGGAATTCTCGGAGTCGGACCAACTGACTTGACGGAGAACACCGTTTCCAACGTCGACGTTGTCCCCACTGTCACAGACAACCTCTACAGCCAAGGTGTCATCGGCACTAGGGCACTCGGAATCTACTTTGTTCCTGCTGCTGCCTCTGACAGTGTTGGCGAGCTCACTTTTGGTGGGCACGATAGCTTAAAGATAACGAGCTCGGTGACCTACGTCTCTCTCACGACTACGTCACCTGCCAGCAATTACTGGGGCATCGACCAGTCTATTTCCTATGGAGGTTCCACCATTTTGTCTGAGACTGCTGGTATTGTCGACACCGGCACGACTCTCATTCTCATCGCCTCCAGTAGGACAAGTCATTCATAAATGGGACGTCCCATACTGACTTGGAGAATATTAGATGCGTTCAGCGCGTACCAGACTGCCACTGGTGGCGTATTGGATGCGACCATTGGTCTCCTGAAGATCACCTCTAGTCAATATGCTAAGCTGCAAAGCCTGACCTTCAAGATTGGTGACAGAGCCTACGATCTGACCCCCAACGCCCAAATTTGGCCGCGTTCCCTCAACACTAACATAGGCGGAAGCAGTGATGAGATCTACCTTGTTGTTGCGGATATCGGCAGCGACTCTGGTTCTGGAATGGATTTCATCAACGGTTATGCATTCCTGTTAGTGTTCAAGTAGCTTTGGCTGGTATCAGACTGACGATCTATCATACAGTCAACGCCACTACTCTGTCTTCGACACCACCAACAACCAAGTCGGCTTTGCAACCACCATACACACTGATGATAAGAACAATTGAACTACCAATTTGCTGAATTGATGCTCATAACGCACGTGTATACGTATGTTTTATAGTTGTAGGTGGTTGTTCAAGGTCGATGGGAGCTTTGCGAGTGCTTGGGGTGACGTCGAGCATATCGTTCGTTGTAAAATTATAACTTTTCAATAGTGAACTAAAGTGATGCAGTACACCATCACTCCAAGTTGCCAGATAAACTGCACAGCAGCTGCTGCTAGTTTGGACTTGGTTTGAACCGTGCGCGTGAGTTATCATGTGACCGGTAATTCCCAAAATAAATATGAACGTAACGTTACGCCGCTTCAACAAGCTGCCTACTCCTGATACGCAAGAAAATAAAGGTGAACAGTACTTACTGATCCAATCGATCATGCGTATGAGTGTAATGTTGGGCTCATTCCGCCATGATCATATGTGCAGCAGTAAAATTTCATCCTTTAAACTTCCAAGACCCGTATTGCATCGAGCGCCAGGCCATACTAAATCTATCGTCATACATGCAGTGCAGAGAACAACTGACCTTCATGTATGGACATGTTTGGTGTGATCTGAATCAATATCCTGTACACCGTCTCTACAACAAGCATAGGATTTTTCTTCTCTTCTCTCTCATATCATATCCTCCCTTTGCAGGGCTTATCCGAATTCCATCAGATCCCTCAAATTGAGTTCCAAGCTTGAATAATCGATCTAGCAATGAGCCGCCAGCCGATCTCGCGACACACCTTCACCGCGCTTAATAGCACTTTCATCGTCGACGGCGAGTACCAGTTCGTCAAGGAGCTTGGTCAGGGTGCATACGGTTGTGTCGTTGCTGCCCGTCACCGCCGATCAGGCGAGGGATGTGCGATCAAGAAGATCACGAACATTAATACCAAGGTGCTTATTTCTGCTTGTTCGCTGCGCACCAGGCTAAACAGGCGCTGTATCATAGCGGATCCTCACCAAGCGATGCTTGAGAGAGATTAGGTGCGTTGTACAATCAAGTACACCCCGAGTATAACGCTGATCACTGTAACACGAATCAGACTGTTACATCATTTCAGGGGACACAAGAACGTACGCCAACCATATGTTCTTTAGGCCTACATTTCACGCATTCCTCTACAGATAACATGCCTATACGACATGGATATCGTCTTTCAATCTAGCGGGAATTTTGACGAAGTCTATCTTTATGTCTGTTCGCCTCGTTATTCGCCTCTGGTCCCACTGATCCCTACATTAGGAAGAATTGATGGAGGCTGATCTTCATGCCATCGTGCGTCCTTTCTCACTCTTGACTGATCTGACGCTCAAAAACCGACGGCGCTTGCACATAGATTCGGTCTGGACAACCGCTCACCGACGCACACTTCCAGTCCTTCCTTTACCAGACGCTCTGCGGGCTCAAATACATTCACAGTGCAAACGTACTCCACCGTGATCTTAAGCCCGGAAATCTTCTTGTCAACGCAGATTGCGAGCTCAAAATATGCGACTTTGGCTTGGCTAGAGGGTGCGCATGTTCCTTACTAGTATATTTGCACTCCAAAGACTAAATATACGTTGTATTTAGCTTTACCCCCGGTGGCGGCACGAGCAAGAGCGCCGGAAACCAGGGTTTCATGACGGAGTACGTTGCAACGCGATGGTACCGTGCGCCAGAAATTATGCTTAGCTTCGCGAATTATGTGTGTGCCACTTTCCTTTCTTGTCTATTACTTCGGCATTCTGTATTGTAGCCGGTTTTACACTAGCTGACCTCAATGTCTGTAGACAACGGCCATTGATGTCTGGTCTGTCGGCTGCATTCTTGCCGAGCTCTTGGGTGGCAAGCCGATTTTCAAAGGACGAGAGTAAGTTCATTCCCACTTCATCATGGGCAATTTGCGCATGCATCGAATCGATGAATTGATACTGACTATCGATAATTTGCATAGCTATGTCGACCAACTCAACCAAATTCTTCACTACCTCGGTACACCCTCTGAGGACACCCTTCGCCGTGTCGGATCTCCAAGGGTATGTGCTCTGCCAAGTCGTCAATATACCCAGCTCACTCAAATCACACAGGCTCAAGATTACATCCGCTCTCTCCCCATCAAGCCACGCGTACCTTTCCAGACACTCTACCCGCACGCCAACCCACTCGCCATCGATCTCTTGCAGCAGATGCTCTGCTTCGACCCCGCCAAGCGCATCAGCTGCGAGGCTGCGCTCAATCATCCGTATCTGCAGGTGTGGCACGATCCTGCCGATGAGCCGGTCTGCGATGCCGTAAGTGTAATTTTCTGTTTGAAGAACCAGGATGCTCAAACTAGGTTCACGAACTCAGAAATTTGACTTTTCGTTCGAGGAGGAAGACTCTATCGAAGGGATGAAGAGGCTCATCGTCGAGGAGGTCCAATCGTTCCGTGCTGAGGTGCGCGCCCAGGCGAGGGCCACGGGCCAGATCAAGAGACAAGACAGGTCAGCATCATCCTGGCGCTTCTTTCCTCTCCTTCATTACGAACCTGATCATTAAACCATCTTAGTCTGCCCATTCCCTCTCGGGACGAGATTATCAGCTCGCCAGTGCAGGAGTACGGCCCTGTACATGGTGCAACGTCTGGTTACACCGCGCCGTCCCAGCGCGCGCCGTCGCCAATTATGGATGACCCTAGCGATGCGCTTGAGAAGGAGCTTGCAGGGACGCATATTGGGAGGCGATGATTATTCACCAGTCAGTTGGTTTGAACATGATTCTTACTTCACTTGAACGTTGTGATTGTTTGTTAGAACTCGTAATGATGTACTACGGAAATGGAGGAAATAATTTGGAAAATGCAAAGATGCTATATACATACATACATACCGTACTCGAGTTTGAATCGTTTGTTGTACTGAGACCAAGATAGAGTTTGTCCCTTAATTGTGTGTAAAGTTGCACCGGACAAACAACCCCGCACATCTGATCTGAAATATACTTGGATCATGCAGTTGACAATCACTGGGGCCTTGAGCTTGAGCTCGAGGTCTGAGAGCTGCTGAATATTGGCAGTGTCGCGGACCTAACCGGCTAGAGATCCATGTGCTCGCCTGTGTGTAAATTTGGGTATCTCGCCTTCCGCCCAAAGCCCATTGTCAGCTAGATTGTTGCCAAAGTCTCCAGCTTGGCTAAATCGCTGCTCATATATAGGTGTAATAAATTCTGCAGGTGGCCATCCTTGTTCGTTATAACTTATATCTCCAATCGCCCCATTACCAAGTGATTGAAATTGGTGGGTGCCCAGTGCTTCTGGTGACTGCGCATACTGACGTGTTCAAAGAACATCATGTCGCTTTTCCTCTGTGTTGACTGTGGTGGATCCAAGACGTCTGCTGTCATCACAGACAGATCTGGCACGATCCTCGGGCGGGCCCTAGGAGGCTCATCTAACTTTTCGTACATGTCTGCATCTGCATTTACAGATGCTGTTCGCGTAGCAGTATCTAATGCACTGAAGACCTGCGTCTCTCCACCATCTATCGATCCTATTCCCCTCCCTCCCAACACTGAGATGTTCGCATCCGCATGGTTCGGTATCTCCGGCGTCGATTCCCTAGCTGCAGTCGCCAATGCCTCAGCAGCGCTCTCCGCTCTCCTCAGGATACCCGTGGGTCCGCGGTTGGTCGTGGCGAACGATACACATCTTCTTGCTGCACCGCTTCGGCTTCATCCTGATATCAAGCATGCTGTTGCTGCGATAGGCGGCACAGGATCCTGCGTCGTCTCATTTCAGCACCAGCCCTCGGGCATGCTAAGTGAACTTGCACGGACTGGCGGGTGGGGATGGATTCTAGGAGACGAAGGCGGAGGATTTCACGTGGGCCGTGAGACTATGCGTCAGATGATGCACGATGCTGCGCGCTCGTCGCTGGGGATGGAGCCGTTACCCCCAAGTAGCCTCAAAGCGAAGGTGCTTGAAAGATTTGGGATCCACGAAGTAGAGAATGCCCCAGAGGTGTTACCGGTGGTGCACTTGCCCGAGCCGAGTACAGCAGAGGCAGCTGCCACTGTTCCATCGTATCTCCTCGTTGCGCGCGAGAAACGGTTAAGCCAGCTTGCTCCACTCGTTTTTGAAGCTGCGTTCAAGGACAAGGACCCCTTCGCGTTGAATGTGTTGAAAGTCTGTGCTGAGGGACTTGCCGATCAGATCGCAATGCTTTGCCGTGAGCCTGGAGAGGATCCGAATTTGAAACCAAGAGCAGTGGAAGCAAATAAGGCCGTGTTATGTTTTGGAGGGAGCTTAGTTGGCATTGAGGATTATAGGGCGTTGATACGTGAGGCATTGGCGAAGAAGGGACATGTCTTCAAATATGTGGAGTTCGTTGATGATGCTGCGGCTGTAGGAGCGGTAGGACTAGCGTCTTTAGGGAGGAGGACATGAGTCTTGTCTACTCGTTAGCTATGGAATTTGTTACTTGAGTATAGTCGAAGTTAATACCTGCCCTAAATATTTCCACGGTCCCCATACAAAAACCACCTTGAGTTTTTTTATTTTTCTCCTTTGTGCGGCGACACGGCCAGACCTTCCCCATGTTGCTCATAGCTGCCCATAATCCACGCGGCTGTTCGAGTGTCAGGCCGTGTCCTGAATAATTGGACGTCTTAGCACCCATTATCGCGTCATCCGACTTTTCTGGAGAAGCGATGGGTCGGTGGTTCATACATATATTCCTGTTCTCTAAACTTTGTATAGCATTTATCTATTCCATACCTCAGTGTGCTCCTGTTAAGACCTCTCTTGCACAAAAAGTACAGTCTAAAACGGGCACTTGAATCACCACCGTCACTTGAACCAACACAACAGTCTAGCCAAAGTGCAGGCTCGTTGTCTTACTATTTTATTTCGTAAGTATGATGACAGTCAACAAATAAAATAGGTTATTGAGTAGCCATTTTGTTTCGGACTCGGCATACTGTATCGAGTACGAGCTGCTGAAATGACGACTGGGTGAGATAACACAACTCAGTATGAGTGCTCAACGTCGCAAACACTGATGCCAACATGGACCAGCAAGAAAGCGCATACGATCACCACAACACCCCAGAAAATATGCTGCCCATGTACGATCAGTCGACAGGGCAGATATCGATATGGGACCTTCCCATGATACCAGAGTGGCCACCATTCATTAATGTTCATGAACGTTCATTTCCCAAGGATGATTGGCATGTCTTGTATGCAAATGTAAACGTGTTTCAACGACGCCTGCGCCTCGCTTAGCTGATTTCAAACGCCGCTATGTGCATTCCGAACGTGTTGCTTGTTTTGTTTACTCATCGGCGTCGAATCTCATTTTATTGTACCGCAATAACTAATGCTGTTCACTCCAAACGCATCGGTGTCGAATCTCATTTGATTATAACGGCGTTGTGCCTGGGTCGCCATCATATTTTGCCAAGCTTCCCGGTGTACCCGACTTGGCAAGGTGCGGAACTCAATTCATGACCTCAACACTCATATCTCTCGAGTTGTATGTATTTAGTATGTGGCCACCGATGGTTTGGAGTCTGCTGTTCAGAATAACTAGGTGGATAACTCAATGGTTTTCTACGGTAGGTATCTGCCTAGCAGCCCCCTCGAAGAACACACGCGTTTCTCGTTGTTTGGACACACATGTATAGTATTGACAATGTGCCTTTTCTTATTATAGTGCTCCGCGAAGTGATTCTATTGATTCCTAACGCCGCTGGGAAGGAACTCGACACGCGTCTGTGGCACACACTATCATGATGCTTTTCCAGTGGTATCTCCTAGCGACAATAGCCATTTAGCTCTGCAAAATATGAAAGTGGCAGATCGAGTGGCAGAATCGTCATTCTGACGGTTATGTCGGCGCAATTGCGGCTTGCCGCAAATAGTTCAGCCCCTGCACTCATGGACAGATATAAAGTCTCTATTGACAGGTATCCGTACTTCAGAGACACAATAAAAATGTCGACCAACACAGTCCCGTCTTCGCTCGACTTGACCCTACGTCTTTTCAGTGAACTTTATGAAGGACGGAGACAATCAAACGCCTACCCTTCCCATCCTACAGCGCAACGCCGTCTGTTCCAAGTACCCGAGTCAATCCATCACCAGTTCGTGTGGCTGCCCGTCTATGCGAAAATGTTTACTGAGGAGTTCTTTGCAGGTCGTCCCTTTCAGAAACTCAATACCATGGCTCGGTCATTGCCGATGAATGGACACCGTGCGGCGATTCCACTTTGAACACGCTCAACATAACGAGGACTGTGGAAGCGCCATTTCCACTTGACGCAGGGTCTCCCGGCTTTAGCAGTCCATCTCCCATGAAGTCCGATCTCATTCGCCAACCCCTTCCAAACACCACTCTTGATCCAGACAACAGAATGGATGCACCTGATCTTAATTGGCCTGTCTATTTGGAAGGTCGCAGCTTCAACGTGGAAACTCACCTCGAGTTTTACAATAGCTTCTCTCCAGAGCTTTCCATGACTCCCTCTATGGATAACCCTTTTTCCCAGACGTGGAGTCCTTATACTCTTCCGCAGTCACCTGACACATCATCTTCCAACGAGAGTTCATCTCGGGATTCTTTCCCGTGGGCGAACAACCACGCCCAAGATCATCATGTCGAACCATCATCCAGCGACATACAAAATCACGCGCAGAACTCCGGCGATGTTTATCTATCTAGTTCTTGTAACGGAACCGATCTTCATTCGCCTACACCGTCGCGGTCGGAGGAGAGGAGTGGCTATAAATCATTGAATGGCACATCATGCCGATGCCGCTGGGATGGCGGGTGCCTCTCAGTTCTGACTGTCGACAGGTCCGAAGTGATGGAACACCTCCAACTGTACCACGGTGTTAAATCTGGCGGTGTCAAAATAAGATATCGTGCCATTGGGACGGCTGCGGGAAGGAGATGCAGAAGGAGAGCATATCGCGGCACATCGTCACGGTTCATTTGAGCGATAAAACGAAATGTGGTTGTTGTGAAAAGCAGTTTACTCGGTTAGATTCTAAGCTGCGCCACTTGAAGCGTTTAAAACGAAAGGATTGCAGAGAATCCGAACCCCATGACAGTCGTGCCAAACGCCTTCGCCTGTCGTGGCCATGATTTTCCCGTCAGATATTCTCGCAGCTTATTATTCACATTACCGAGGACAGCACAGCACCGCCGTGCGTGTATGCTCATTTTTGTTACATTAATTGGATCTTGATCTGTGGACGTATGTACTGCCGAACCTATGCTTTATCATCTTTTGTTCTTTCAATGCACTGCCATATCGAAGCGGAATGACTTAAGCTGTAGGCGTCAAGTTCAGGCCTTGGAAGACGGTTTTGTGTGTGTCCAATTTCTGTCCTTTTCAGAGTGAGACTCTATGTAGGACATTACAACCTATACTAGAGACCCCCAGTGTCTCGGATGCATCTCAGGTTCGCGAATGCCCTGATGTAGAGCGTGCTCCCATCAGTCCGCCGTTCCCGCCGGCTGTTTTAGACGCTCTGCCCTTTGAATGAGATGACTGTACGTGAGCTATAGATCAACTAAGTAGGAGTACACGGCAAGACAGTTCATAATCACTGATGACGGACAGGAGCTATAGGGAGATGCATATACTTGAGGTTGGAACGCAAAACGATAGGGATACTACTGTAAGATAATACACAGGCCGGAGGTCTAGATCAGTGTAAGAGAAGTCAGGGGATTCACATGACCGTGACTCGGACTTTTTGGCTGGCCGACCAACCCCCATCAAGTACACTGTTGTCAATTACCAGTGATCCATCTCCGTACTTAACAACGGCTCTCGCATACTGGCAGCCCGGTCTTTCGAGAGCATGTCTCCGAAAGGCATCCTCCCGCGAGAATGAAGCACCGCATGTAGAACAAATCCACCGTACTCCAAGGTGTGATAATAATATATGACGTGGGAGGTTCCCCGATTTCATGTGGGCACCGAGACAACCCGTCTAAAGACAGGTAGTCTGCTGCGTGTCCTCGCTCGCGGGGCTGGTGGTGTTGACACCATGATGTTGCTGGAGATGTTTGAAGACCTGCTTGTGCTCTACAGCAATATGCATTGTGCAGCCATCCCAGTTACATGGGTGCACTGTGACCTTGGTGTTGTGGTCGCACAGAATACCCCGAGCAATCAGAATGGGATTCGCCCTGTTATACTCAGGCCGGAGCATATGATATCATGGACCATGAAATTTTCAGACGAGCTGAAATACTTAAAGAACAGTGAGCCACAAAGAAATGGTAGAGAATGTCACCGCTAACCGATCTGTGTTCATATTGGATCAAAGAGGAGTTGGTTTACGTGTCTTCTGGATCCCAGTGTGTTGACTGAATGAATATTTTATTTGGCCATCTACGCTGACGCACGCACTGGCACGTGGGTTGCAACGCGGTACGACAATGAGTCGGCCCCGGAGATGAACGAAACCATATATATGACCGATTCGTAGTAGTATACTAGTACGCCTCTTCCTTCAGTCCATCACACGAGCTGAGGGTAAGCCGTTTTCTCCATATCACCTAAATGCTGACATCTACACTACAAGAGACTGATTGTGACATTGTCTGGATCTAGAATTCTGCAGATAAGTCGCCTTTTCATGGCTTTTAACTTGACTGATCTCTGGCGCTGTTCCCCACCTCGACAAGAGGCACGAGTGTTGGCTGGAATCGCCAGGTTTCCATTGAGCTCTTGGGTTTGTGAAATTCCGCTACAGTGGTGGTGGAAGAGATAGATTGGTTACGCGCTGTGTCGTCGCAACCTTCAAACAGGCAAGTGGAATGGATGATAGTCAATTCTGGTGGAGCGGGGCGTCCCGTCAGACCTAGGCAGGTCCGGGTGCAGTAGCAGGTGTCCTGGCTCGTAGTCGGTGGTCCTCGCGCGTGCCGTAGTCTGTCCTCGATAGATAGACCCGTAGCCTCCCGCTATAGAGGTCTGGCCTTGGTTCCCTTGTGGTCCGTGCCCGTTCCACTGGTCAGTATGCCAATGTTGCCGTCCCAGAGCAGATTACCATAAGTGACCCACTTATTAAATCGATTTCACATTGGAAAGCCTTTGTGGCACCCGGGTAGATCCAATTTTGATCCGTCGATCGGGGATGCGATCCACAGCCACCCGACTAGCAAGTCCCTTGAAAGTTCACCGACAGCAGCTGAGATACCAAAGTGCAGTGGATGAAACGACTAGCTGCAGATACGGTACACGGACCTAGACGAATCATCTGTCAGAGGAGCACTGTGAGCACGCGTCATTAGCGAAATAACAAACAGTATGGTATCTATGTCATGTCTCGCGTATTGTTATGACGTCTCGAAGGAGCCAAGTGTACCGGAGTAATCGGGATGGTGGAGGGATCTGGATTCAATATGAAGCTTGTGACCCGTGGTATGTACCAATCGGACTAGGGTTAGACCGACGAGGCCAGGCCCGACAAGTGACTGCCAGTGCCGATGTGGTATCTGGCGACGTGATAGTTGAAGTGCGAATTCACAAGAACTGGCGATATAGCATTTCCCTCCCTTCGATTCCGAATCCTTTGCACTGTGGACAAACGAACATTTGTCAGTCTACTTCGAGTGAAAGTGCTGTGGTAACTTGGCCATGACCGTGGCAGCACAGTGTTGAGGAAGGCGAGGACCCAATGAAACTGCATCAAACTTGGACCCATAAATGCTATGCTGAGCGCTGGTAGTGACCGCGAACAATGGCATCATGTAGGCATCTCGTGGAAGCCCGATTTGACTCGACTCTGGATGTGCTTCTATTACGATGGTGGAAAGCAAATACATGCCGCGAGTTCCAGCGCATGAACGCTTGATAAATTCCAGTGGTGAGCATTCGGCGCGCGGACGACAGAACCATGGTGGATTTGATTCAGAGGCTTCCAAGGAAAATAATAAGCTGGCCCGAGGGCCCGGCCCGGAGTCCCGGACGGACATAATTCTGCGTACCAGTGGAGCTTGCTGACCTGCAGTCTCATGCGTTTTGGAAGATTCGGATTCACGTACCGTTTTCTACCATCCAAAACACATTTCCGCATCATGACACCAAACTACGAATCCTGGTCAAAGGATGAGCTGATCGCACGTCTCAAAGAGCTGGAGGCAAAAAAGCACCCCAAGTCAACTCATTCACCAACATCTAAAAAACCATTTCATTTTTCATCCCACCCGAAGCGGAAGATCGCTATCAAGTTCTGTTACTCGGGGTGGGAGTATAATGGGCTGGCATATCAAAACGGTCCTACGCCTCTTCCAACGGTCGAGGACGTCTTGTTTAAAGCCTTTGTAAAGGCAAGGCTCGTCGACGAAACTGGCGGCTTGGATGGATGTGGATGGGAGAAATGTGGAAGGACTGATCGAGGAGTGAGTGCTGCTGGTCAGGTAGTTTCGTTATGGGTTCGAAGTGCTCTCCCCACCGAAACTTCTTCCAAGGTAACATCATCACCACCGTCTGAGGATGTATCCACGGAGGACACTCCCCAAAACACCTCACTCCAGTCTTCTACAAAACACGAGCTCCGCTACGTATCCATACTAAATCGCTTGCTCCCTCCAACAATCCGCGTCTTAGCATGGTCTTCCATTTCCCCCGATTTTTCTGCTCGATTCAACTGTAAACACAGACATTACAAATACTTCTTCACCTCTCATGGACTCGATGTATCTCTAATGCAATCAGCTGCCAACCATCTCGTTGGCGAACATGACTTTCGCAATATGTGCAAGCTTGATCCAGGAAAACAAATCACCAACTTTCACCGCTGTGTCATGCGCGCACAGATCAATCCGCTCTCTCCAGAGTCTGATGGCGATAATCGAGTATACGTATTCGATCTCGTAGGATCCGCTTTCCTATACCATCAAGTTCGACATATCATGGCTCTCCTTTTCCTCGTCGGAACAGGAGTTGAACAACCGTCCATTATACCAGCTCTTATGAACGTCTTTCATGCAGAATCAGATTCATCAACAAAGTCTCCGTTGCCACTGGTAGATCGCAAACCCGAGTATCAGATGGCAGACGCCCTTCCTCTCATGCTTTGGGATTGTGCATACGCAGATTCGGATGTCACATGGCAAACCGACGGCGACGGTACAGAGAGCGGCGCCGGCTCAGACCTCTATCATCAACTCCATTCTATTCATCAACGCTCCCTCATCCACACAGTCCTAGACGAGCACTTCTTCACAGCTGCCACTCAATATCATTCTCCACCACCTCAATACTTCCCTTTCAGTCAGACAGGACTGACACCTCACACGCTTCCTCATTCGACTTCGGGTCGAGAACCGGTCCTTGGTGTGCCACTCGGCGCAGGGACGTACAAGCGCAACGCAAGGTACATTCCTTTGTTGGAGAGGAAGAGACTTGATCACGTCGATGTGGCCAACGAACGATGGCGAATAGGCAGGGGGAGCAAGTATAGCAAGCAAAAGACGTCTGATGATGGAACCGAATGAACGCGCACTTGTGTACGCCGTTTCGCGGTAGGCTATTGGGTAGTATGCAACCTTGTGCTTTATGTACTTCGACCGGTACATTTTGATTATATTTCTGTACTACACTTTGTGTCCAATCCTACCCTTTTCGCATACGATTATTTCCTCGTTTCCCCAGTGACTGCGCGCGTTAAATCCGTGAGTCGGTGAAGAAGTGAAATGGAGAAAGTACACAAAGGAAATGCTTGCTTTATTGAAGCAGATAGCTTCTCGGGTGGAAGCCCCGATGGCGGCCCCAACCTGTGCGAGAGAGAGCCGAGGTGAGCTGCAATTCCCAGGCGTCAGTGAGAGCGACGCAGCGAAGTGAACCTCGGATCCCAAAATTGTAGGAGCCTCAGAGCGACGCTTCGAGGTGAGGGAAGCAGTGTTGGAAAGAAGAGATAGCAGATTGGGGGCGTCCGCGTGAGCAATGTTACGGGCATTCACATGAGTGAATATGTGGGCATCCGCGTGAGCAAGGTGCAGGGATAAGATAAAAACCAGTATGCATGGCAGTCTACTTCACATCAAGGTGAGTGAGCAGATAGTTCCCTCCTCTTATCAGGTTTCCTGCCCTGATGGGCGACAAGGAACCCGACGAGAGTTTGCAACGGCAAACTTCCTGCATGAGTAAACTTGAGAGGGCGGCGCAGGAGTGTTTTGGATGCCCTCTACCCATGGCCAGCTTCCCCGCCGGACTTGTCTTCATTGCATGCGGATGCGTGCAAGGATCCAGGCCCTCAGAGCCTATCGTGTTGCCAGGTAGCCAACGAAGATAGCCTAGAAAATAGAAATCAGGCCAATAAAATTTTGGGAGTCACCTATAGTAGGGTCGCGAAATTTTCGACGAGGAAACACGGAAAAAAAGAAAAGCAGCCAGGTTTGAGCCTGCTGGAGCGTGGCGTGAGCACTGCGTGGTGCGGAGGCCACGTGCTGCAAGTGCTGCCGCTGCAAAGTCCTAACTCTAACCCTACACGAGCTCACGCCCGTTGTGCCTTCGGCACAAATCGAAGGAGCGCTACGCGCTCCTTCAGGGGAGGAAAATGAGTGTTGTTCCTTCGTCACAGGAAGCCAAGGAGGGCTACACCCTCCTTTGGCTTCCTGGCCTCAGGCTGCATCCTAATAAATTGTGCATTTTGAATAACTTTGAAAATACATTTATGAGCAGTTCAAAAAAACTAAAAGTACAATCTACCACCACATAAAGTACATAGTAAGATCTACATTCTTTGAGCAGGATTCTGACAAAATTACAAAATATATAACAGTACTGTAGAGATATGACACTAGGTTCGTCACAGGTCACAGCCCTTAACGAATCGAATCTATTTGGTGTGACTGTCACATGAATTTTTGGTGGGACGAAGCTAATTTGTGACATATGGGAAAAAAAACATAGGTTATGCGCTAATGGGACCAGAAATCATCATACATCGAATTTGCGATGCGTCTACGCTTTCCACGCCCGTAATCAACCTTCGGAACACTATTCGAGCCACTCTCCACATCTTTGGCAGTCGACAGGCAGAGTCCGAGATGGGATGGTTGGTTGCATTGGAGTTGGGATCCTGAGTAATCGTGTGATCTCATGTTGAACAGAAGGCGGCAGTTTGCTCTGGTCAAAAACACGACCACATGAGAGCCACTCTGAAGCAACAAACATATCAGTTTGCGATGGCATGATGGGCGCTTGAAAACGGATCATACTAGTAGACTCACCTGGCAGGCTTTAAGACCACAGAGTCTCCAATTCCACTCGTTACCAGTCAGCGCTATGCGAGGCGAATCCATGACAGACTGAAGCAAGTTGCTTGAATCACGAAGCAGCATGTCAGATGGTTGCAAATGGTGTTGCGAGCGGCGAAGCACTACGATCCGCAGGCGAATCTATTTGGGTAAGGTCACAGGTCACCTGGACATTCGAACCTGTAAGACTAAGCGTGACATCGTCACGGGCTGCACGTGACGAACCTAGTGTCGTATCTCTACAGTATCATTGAATGTATTTATTTTCCCATCTTTGCCTGCCAGAAAAAAGTTCCCAGGGTTTTAAGGCCTTGCAAGACATTTTAATGCTCTATTTGGAGGGTGTCCTTATAAGGGCTTTTGAACGGGTAAGATAATATTTTAATGCCATTATTTTACACTTATAAGGGCCCTTTTGATGATCTTACATTGAGTTTTGCCTCGCCGTGCCTCAGAATGGCCCATTAAAATGCCTTGTAAGGCCCTCTTAAGGTGCCTAGCCAAACTTGTAATCCGGCAGTATTACAATGGTACCTAACTTTTTTCCAACACCTACCCATCTCCCAATTGTCTCCTACATCCTCCCGTCTCCCGTCTCCCGTCTCCCGTCTCCCGTCTCCCGTCTCCCGTCTCCCGTCTCCCGTCTCCCGTCTCCCGTCTCCCGTCTCCCGTCTCCCGTCTCCCGTCTCCCGTCTCCCGTCTCCCGTCTCCCGTCTCCCGTCTCCCGTCTCCCGTCTCCCGTCTCCCGTCTCCCGTCTCCCATCTCCCGTCTCCCATCTCCCGTCTCCAATTTTCAAGTCTCTACATTGTCTTTTGCTCCCTTTTTGATTTTTCACAACTGTTTCCTGTCATTTTTTCCTGATCTCTTTTATCTCCTTCACCACATATTTGTTGTTCCATTTTAAGTTTTATTATTTACTGTATGTATGTACCATAAACAATTACAGGAAGGAAAACACTTGAATTTTGTAAATGTAGTACTTGTAGTGTGCTACTCTAATGGGCAACGGAAATCAAGTCGGCGCTCGAAAACACGTGACAAAGCCATGCGAGTTTCCAAAAAGAGGTTTAAGCGAGCTAAGCACTCCCATGTGGCCTTTAGCGAAATACGCGAAATACGCGAAAGCCACGCGAGCACCCGTGCGTTTCCGAAACCGTCGTACTTTACTTCTTAGATTCGTACCTCGCTTTGGGGTAGAATATCAAATAACTCAACTGACACCGAAATGTTTAATGGTTCGAGCATGGTCGGGGCAAGAGGCATGAGTATTGCGTGTCTAATTCTAACATATATAACCGCCGGTATGTTGTCCACCACGTCATGCTGTGTCATCGTGTAGTATACATAGGAGAGTGGTAGTCCAAGATAGGATCAACAATAAAATAAGAAATGCTACCGCTACAACATGCATTGTAAATTGTGCACCAGTAAACCAATTCCTATCCGATGTGCCACAGTAGAATTTGACCGTCGAGGGCTATCAGAACTGTACAAACAATCTGGAGACTATAATAAGACAATACCAATGATGGGTCCAAGTGTATACTTCAGCGTCACGAATCGATCATGACAGCCTAGCGCATATAATTCTATATCAACAGAGAGGAATTGTCAATGCAATGTTCGTATGCAGAACCAATAATTGACAACCTGACCAAGTAGGCAATTGGTACGTGCGAGGGGAAGAGGGGAAGGCGGAGCTGACTAAGTTATGAGAGGCCGCAGGTCCAAGAACGTCAAAACTCTGTTAAACCAAAATCGAAAACCGTGCCCATCTCAGCCAGCTGAAGAGGGGTTTAACTAAAAAGAATGTCTGAGTTTGGATATTGGTTTCCCGATTTCTAGACACTGACATCACATAGCATGCAACAAACCATCCGAAATATCGCAAAAGAGGGGTGGCCGTTGTCAGAATGATGCTCGACTTTGGGTGAAGAAGAATTCTGCTTGAGAACAATCCGGGTGGTGATCGCGATGCTTGGTAGCGAGGTCGTTCCTAGCTGGCATTGTTGTGTCGCAAAGAGAACATTTAGATCTGATACCAGCGTGCTTGATGATGTGACGCCCAAAACTCTGGAACTTCAGCTGATCTTCACAGCGACCATGAGCTGTAATCCAGAGGCAATGATAGGTTTTCTTGTTGCTAATCCCAATACCATGATCTTGGCGCAGGTGAGTAAGAATAACTTTGGGTGTAGCTTGAAGCTCGTGACCACAAAGCGCTCCTTCGTCATCCCATTGGCAAAGAAATGTGCCATGGTACTTATGGGAGCAGTCGTTATGGTATGGCTCGAAGCGACTAGTACTGCACGGAAGGCAAAGTGGTAGGTTATCGGAGACATCATGGAAATTTTCAAGCAAGTCATCTTCCATCTGAAGAATGGGAGTGGGGGCGGAGGGTCGAGGGATGTTCATTCCTATTATTTGGTTGTTCGCCGAGTAAAAACCCATGTATGTAAATCCTAGGTGGGAGCACAGCTAAGTAAGGAGGGTGTATTGACGATCATGAATATTCTCACCAGACCATGGATGAACCAAAGGACGACTGGGCTGTGGTGCGTGTAGTATATGAGGAGACCATATGGGATCATCGACCACAGTTCTGTTTCGACTAGAGCAACCAAGTTTTCACCAGTGAATACTAAAATTATAGAGAACAGACGCACCTCTCAAACAGAACAGTGACTAAATGATCCGAGTCGTCGGTAGGCACAAAACCACCATGTGAACCTGCAGATTGGTGGGCAGAGATGGATGTGTACCAATCAAAACTCTCTAGCAGATCACTAGGTTCAGAAAAAGAGTCAGAGATATCCATAGATACCGGTCCACTCAGCAGACAATGTTGCTCTGTTTTTAAGAGAGGAGTCGAGCATTGTGGGCATGTACTGGCATGTTTATCATTACGACATCTGTAATGCCGAATTATACTGCATACACAGCAGCAGAAAGATTCTGTAGGGACACATCACAGAAGGCAGCTATAGAATGCTGGCATGAAAAGTATCATTAGCAGGGGTGAACATGCCAAACTGCGGAAAGCTACCGACGATTTTGCCACCAGTCACTACTTCATTTCCTAGCAACTGCCAGGGTGCTTATCTTCATGAGCAAAAACAGTTATTTTATCACCCTTGGAAGTTGGAATAGTTGCACTGCCGAGGTCCCAAAGACGTATGAGGCCTTGAGGGTTTGCCAATCTAGGTTGCGGCAGGCTCCGAGTCAACATATTAGATGATGGAACAAGGGGAGCAACATTGTAGTTGCCAGAATGAGTGTGTGCCATATCGGTGGACGGTTAATTAATGTTGATGACGTAGAATTGAACCGAGATTGACTTGAAGGTAAACGATCCGGAGCCGTGTACTTGGTGGTTTGCAGCATCAGGACGAAAAAGTGTGTTCTGTGTACCATATCGATATCATGGCAGCCTTCTAAATTTGAGGGATCCGTGGCGGCGTAGTGGGGCATAACGTAAAAATGTGAGAAATACATACTATACCCAAGATATACCACCACTCACAATCTTGCTCACAATTCCCCCTTATTGACGACAAAAAGATCCAGGTAGGGGGATTTAAATGGGACAGCCTCAATAGCTGTTTTCCCTTCGTGCAAAATATCTAACTTGCACAATTGCACTTATGATATGTCCCCTGCATCAATATTCAGTTTATGTAATCAGACAAGATAGGCACCCAAAATGTAGGGTGTGCACAGCATTAAGAAGTTGAGAACCCTCTGAGTCAGTCATCGGGGGTTTCAATGTTTTAGCTCTTCAATCAAAAGCTAGCCTAGAGCGTTCCAGAGCACCCTTTCGAAAGTAATTTCACTGGCGGCAAAAGGCAGTTTCCCCGCTGTGTCTTTAGTTGCTCTTTAATTAGTAGAATTCCGTGGTTTCCCCGTGTGATGTCTTACTTACTACATGCTCTCCGCACGCTTGTCTAGCATGGTGCCGCTTCATGCCCATGCCAACATTGTGTTCTGAACTTCTACCATATCCTTGCCATGTCCCTAGCTCCAGGTGAGCGCCAATATGGTCCTCCTCTCTATCGGATTGGATTCGGAAGCTCTGGATCATGTACGTGAACACCTCCAAGTGTGTTAGAACTGCTCTCATCATTTATCAGAGCAGAAGGAGATGAGGACGACAGATTTCAGGCAATTCCGGGCTCTTGGCTTTGACTGTCGTGTTGTGAGTGGTCATAAATTATTTGTATCGGGTACTTACTCCGCATATATTGCCATACTATTCATGTGCGTAGCACCAATTGATGTCAACGAGAAACTTTTCGAGCTGCTGAGAGCGGCATCACATCCTTGTTATTCGCGACCGTTTTGGCCTGTCTGTGAAGTATGGCGTCCAAACACGATGTTGCTGTAAAATCTCAAGCATTGGATTGGCCCCATAACAAAACACTCTGACCGGAGATTTCTGATTTGCGCCCATTCCAGTTTCTGCCGATTTGGTGTGTCTTCGAGTGACAAGCGATAAACTGTTCTTACATGAGTTCGATTCTAGCCATCTAATTCTGCCAGTGGTTAGACGTAGAAGCTACAGTGCACTGCAGGGTGCTAACTAGCTGAGAATATTCAACACTGTTCAAGGGATATCCCCTTTTGTACGCTTGTCTGCCTGCGTGCCACGGTCCTGAGGTACGAGTTTTTGTTTCCGGATGAGCCCAGCATGCATAACTTATTCTTATTCCTGCTTTGTACAGTGCCACATGTACCTTACATCACCCTCCAAAGCCATCCTCATACAGACATTCAGTTGCACAAGACGTCGAAAAATCCCAGACTGTATTGGCATCAAATTTCTGAAATGTTTCTATCTCTATTTTGAATACGTGTACGTAAGTGCAGGCTCGAAGTGATAAGCTTCTGCACTGATTTGGATGTTGGCCGGTGTGACAAAATAGCCAATGACCCCTGGCGACGTACGTATGTCGTTTTTCAGACACTCAACGCCAATTGGACATGAAGAACAGGCTGAATGCTGCACGGCACGATGCTCTCACCGAGCTGGTAGGTTTAATGACGCTTCCTGGTTGGCCTCATGAGAAAAAAACTGTGGCAAAGAACTTCTTCTGTAACAGGAACGAGGTGCTGTTGGCCACCACTGCAGTGTTGTATTCGTCCGACAGACAGACTCGGATCTTTCGGGGATCCTTCATGTCTTTACCGTGACATGCTCAGTGTTCATGGTCTGCTTGCCAAATTTACATCTGACTTTCTGCATTCTTACGCCTGGCTGGCGTCATAGTCTCCGAGACAAATGGGCAGTGTCAAAGCGGAAATGGAACGGAGCTGGACCTTTCACAGCCACCCGAAGTTTCTCGGGGACTGCTTCTGATCAGGTTCTCGACAGATCCCTCAAATTCGCTTAGGTTGATTCTGGAATTCGAAGGGGGCAATTTAACATATCGTTTGATTGATCAATAGCATTATGTCATTGATATCAGGGATCCGATTATTCCGTTTCCGAGGCCTCAAGTTTGAAATCCACTGGTAAACGTCGTACCATTCAGCCTGCCTGCAGCCTTTCTACCTTCTAAATGGGCCCGTACTGTTATGAAACTGCTGCAGGTGACCACTAAGTATTCTTGTTTGATATGTTGTCCTCCTACTTTGCTTTCATATTCAACTTTCCTTACCTTTATGGTACTGTTCACTCGCTGCGGCCACGATACGGATTGGATATGCAATCGCTGTTTTGCTTGTTATTCATCATTATGTCATAGTCCCATTGGATCAGCCAGAGTCTGAAAAACACGACGTACATGATTAGGATAAGTTAGCATGCATGTTCATTATACTAGCACAACAGTGACTTGGATATAGCACGGCGCAGTACATCAGACAGTGTGAAATCATCCTTGCACGGTCTGGACAAGAAATATGGACGACTTCACGATTGAAAGCTGGTTGATATTGTTTTAATACATAGTACTGTGGCCGACCGCCAGGATCGTATTTTTGGCCTCAGCATTCTGGGAACCTCGAGCAAATATCCAGATCAGTAGACTGGTTACTGCAGATACGAGACATACCCACCAATTGTGTCCCTCTGACTGGTAAGACTGCCATAAAAGTAAGCTTGATATTACAACGAGAAAGCATATTCAGGCTGTTGCTGTTGAGGGAACCAAAGTGCTTAACACACAGGACCAGGCACATCGAGCTTGAAACCACAGGAACGTAATGATAAGGTAATAAGAGATGTATTGAAGACACAAAGACGTACTTCAGACTCCAAGTGACTCATGAGTTTGGAAATGAGTGGCAAAATTTATCCAAATCCAGCATTGCAGAATACATGCATTTGCCATCCTGCAATGTGCGATGGTGAACACGGTACACATGGGGCTAACACAATGAATAGCTAACCTGTTTACAAATCAAGGCGGTCTATCAATGAGAACGTTCCAATTCTGGTCCTATCTTGGAATACCGTAGGGTATTGGCTCACCATCGGGCAGGTCCAACAAACCCGGCACGCGTCTGGTCACTGCTTGATCAAGAACATAGATGGTTATAATTAAGTGTCATCCACATTGGGCGCAGCTCCGATGATTATACAACAACATGACACGATAAAGTACTGAACCATTCAACACATCGTAAAGGAGGCGTAGTCATTTGTCAGAAAGGGGTATGGTAGTCTGTATAGTGTCAAAGGCTGCCTGAGAGCAAACTGGGTGGCGTCGACGATGGTTGGTCGCGATGTCCTTCCGAGCCGCTATGCTCTTCTTGCAAATGGAACACCTGAATTTGATACCAATGTGGGTAATGATATGATGTCTAAAGCTTTCGACCTTCAGCTTCTTCCCACAATGGCCGGCGTGGGGTGTGATCCAGGAGCAGGTGAACGATTCATCTGGGTCGACATCAATGCAATGATATTGGTGAAAGTGAGCAACAATATTCTGGGATAGCTCGTGACTGCAAGGTGTTCCATTGTTGTCCCACCTGCAAGCACAGGTACTATAGCGCTCAATGGAGGGGTCGGATGAACTGGAGTGACTAGTGTTGTCATGGCGCAGAGCACGGTGAGGTTGTGGATGATTAAAGATGGGAGTGGGAGGTCGAGAAATGCTTGATCCAATTGCCTGGTTGTATGCCCGCGAGCAAGAGCCCACGTATATAGTATCTGGACAAAACACAGCCAAATAAGAAGGGTGTTTTAACAATCACGAATCCTCTTACCGAGGCATAGATGGCGAGGCTGCGGCGCATGTACATGAGTGGCAATATTTGCTACCACTATATTTCGACTAGAAGAACCAAATTATTACCAGTGAATGACAGCTTATGAGTAACAAACGCACTCCTCAAAAGGATCAACGGCGAAGTCATTATTGAAAGAGGTCGTATTTGTGTTACTGCTGAGTCTCGTCAATTGAGTCGGGGGGGGATTTAAAATATATGCACCTTAGAATCATAGCCACATCCTGCGAACCATCTAGGTGGGCGAAGAGTGATACCATCTCTAGCAGATCCAAGGGGGAAGGTACATGGATACAACTCAGGAAACTTTGTTTTTATATACCATGGATCTTCAAAGCTTGACATCAGTAATAAAACGCGACCGCAGGGGCCAAGAAGCGTGTGCATGAGTAGGCCTTGCCAGGACGGATATTGCGGCGGGTAGACGCTGAAGATTGACCTCGTGAATCTTGACATATTAGTCTTTGGCCGTTGGAAATCAGAATAACCTGAAGGCCGAGGCTGGCATGGTAATGCCATATGACTACCAATTTAATAGCTTCGCCATTGCGGCGTTGAACGTTGAAAGCATCCATATGATAGGACTGCCATCATGGAATCAGCGAGGAGGTGAAGGTTTTCATATAGGGTGATTCTGAAAGTCAAGCAAACTGGAATAAATTGCGCAATTCCGATTATCATATATCGGAGTGCGAAAACAAATTAAAAAATGATAATCTGCACAGAATATCAACCGCACCCACCACCATGGACGATTTGACAATTCAATCTTCAAAGAACGAAGCAGAGTTGCTAGAGGAAAAAAACCAAGAAGCTGCACCCTTACAAATTCAAAGGTTTATTGGGGAAGGCAGACCACGGTTGCCTTTCAAATTTCAAAGTTTGAACCATGACGATATGACACCCGGCATTGCGGCACACCTTTCTAATGTGTGAAATTACTCTGCATTATTTTTATCTACGGGAAGTCACCTTGGATTATACTAAATGCTCATGATATGTGTATGTTTACAATTTCCCGTGCTTCCACTGTTGTCTTTTGCTTAGCCATCATTCGATTTGAGTCCTTTGGTTGTGTCATGGCTGCCAGTCTTCATCATGATCTGCTTTGCCTTCTCCATTCGCCTTGGTTCCACCTGTCTCACTTGCTGTAACAGATCAGCAGATAGTTGATGACGGTGTTTCTGTCTCCTGCTTGTTTGAGCATCGCGGAGTATCGAGAGCGCGGTTTACCCACCTGGAGTCCTTCTGTCAGTGTCTGCTCCGAGTCTTTTTATTGATAATTTACCAGTGATGACTCGTACTCATTTGATGATTTGGCACGTGCTCATGCGTTGTCGGCCAAAGTGTCTGATACTTGTGTTTCTGCAACTTTACAGACATGGCAGTACCTCACTAGATCGTGAACTCTGGTACCCAGGACCAGAGCACAAGGCGAGACTGGTCTTGCACACATCAAACTTTCAGTACTGCAGCCATAGTAAGTGGCTTGCAAGTGTCATACTCACCGGTACTGTTTTTATTGAGACAGGAAATGAAGTGATGAAAACTCACCTCCTGGTCTGATGCACAATTTCCTGTGGTTATTGCTACTGCTAGATACTCGGACTGGTAAATAAGGTTCCCGCTGACACACCCTCTCTTAGATCTGAAGTACTGTATGTACTTGAGAATATCATTACGCAACAACCAGCCCACAACTACCACGAGTTGCTTGAATCCTGGCTCATACTTATACCAAGATGGTAATTTCAGCCGGGGCTGAACCATTCGCAGCACTAGTCAAAAATAACAGCTCGTGGGCAACTTCAAGGCAAGATAGAGATGTGATGAATACTCACAGTTATGAAGGTGCTTTCAATCTCCCTATCGTTCTTTCACTGCCTTGCATCTTTCCGCTTAATTGCACGAACGAGTGTTCCAACATATGCTGAATACGGTGTCGGAAGTCGACTGTGTCTCTGTGAAAAGGACAAGAACTGACTGCGTGGGGGAGAGTTGTAAGTGTTTGATTATGCTTGAAAATTCCATTTCTCCGCTCACCGACTGTCAAGTGGATCCAAAGAGCCAGTTCTTTTAGCTGGCATTCATTCTGGCTCGGGCCATCATGATGTGTTGTATGAGTACAAGCGCATGAGATACTGGTATCATTAGAGGCCGGGATGATGGGAGTTCTTTTTGTACTGTAATTGTTTTGCACCTGCTTGAGGCATGTCCGACCTATTTGCATTTGATATAGCACTGCAGTGCTTCTCGCTTCACATCTCACCGAGCTCAATGGAGTCTGAATCAGCGACTTTTCCTCCGAAACAGGGAGGCTTCGGCATTACGCGGTGATCATCACTTCTTCACACTGCAAGGATACATTTTTGGTCACCCCAGTGGTAAGTATTATGCGCGATGCTTCTGCACTAATCCCAATGTTCGTACAACATCCAGGTTCTTTGGAGAGGTCACCGGAGGTGGTCAAGTTCGCGTGATATAGAAATTTCAATTGCGCTAATTATGTCATGTGATGTTCTATTCTTGAAGGCCTGAGCTTATGTAGTTCGTTCCTTAAACATTTTTACTTATACCTGGCTGTGGCCCACAAATAGCCAATAATTGATTTGGCCTTGTTGATAAGTAGCATGAATATCATTTTCGAAATACTAAACGCTGTTTGGACATGAACAACAGGTCTAGACTACTCGACCCAACACAAGCGACCATTGCTTGAGCCACGAGGTAGCCACATATATGCAGCATGCACCCGTTATCAATGTGGCAAGAGATGCCATTGGCCGCCACTGCCTTTATCTTCGGGAGTGCTCCAAGTTTGTGTCTTTAATACATTCAGGGCCGCCAGCGACACGTTGACTGTTCATGGTTGCGATTAGGCTCATGACCAGCCTGACATATACTACCAAGCATGCTCGCATCTCAAATTGACGCGTAGTCAGACTGGTCATGTCGCAGCGCCTGCTGCGGCCAAATCTCTGTTTGAACTTCAGGTTTGCATACTTGATACTGGCGTCGCGGTCTCTAAGGGAGGCAGTGGGAGATCGAACGAAGCTGGAGCTCTGCTGTGTATCATTACTTGAACTAACTTGTATTACACGCGACTTGGGCATGCAGAACAGGCCGTGATTAATGTTGCACAGCATAATCATTAGTCTTAAGTCATGGACCCAATTTCAACGTTACTTGAGCCGCTGAATAGCCAAAGTCACGTAGCGTACATTCATGCAGCATGAGACTTCTGTGATGAGTGCAGTGTTGCATTTTATTCAGTACTCATGGTTATCGTTTGCTTGCCAAATTTCTGTTCAGACTCGGTGTGTATATGTACTTGGCTGGCATCGCGATCTCCAAAGAAGATGGGTGGAAATGGAATGAGTCTGCTGGGCAAGTTTGGCATAGAGTCTGTGTCTCCACAACATTATCTTATCAGATAAAGGTATGTGCAGTAATTGCTTGCAAACATGGCATTTCCAGGTTCCACTGGGAGAATGCGGTAATTCCTTGTAGCTCGTTCGACCAAGTGACAAAATTACTAATATGGCTTTCAGGATTCCTATAAGCTACAGCCATTCATGAAGCCATGAGCGCTCGAAAAAATGCAAGTTCAAGGCAGGCAACGTGGTTAGCCTTTGGCTTGGTGGCGCTCGCTGCATTCTCTGCCTCAGCCCAGCCTCAAACCGTCAGTGTTATGATGGTTGCATGGTCATGAATACTAACATGTTCTTTAGGATAATATAGAGAGCACCCAGTCAGAGCTGGAGTTCAGTGTGCAACAAAATGCCCAAGTCCCAAATGACGTAGTATGCAGGCAGATTCAAGATATCCCCGTGTTTGGACAGTACTCATTCTTGTATAGGCAACTGTATATTTGGAACCAGATTTCGACCAGGATGCAGAGGGTGAGCAGGGTCTCCTTCAGCGCTGCAGGGATCTAACATATCACGCAGCGACAAGGGCGTACAAGTCTGCTCTATTCACACTTTCTAACCTCACCGCACATCTGCCATCTCATACACACAACATATTTTCCAGACCAACTACCACAACATCTTCTCTTCTCTCTGTGCTCCTTCCCAATCCACAAGGCCAAGGCCCTCTAGGAAGTGCAATCCATATAGCACTAAAACTTCGTCAACAATTCTTTCTTTTCCATCTGTTCGGTGGACCCAGTGGGAGTGCTGCGAGGAGAAGGGATGAGGAGATGCGTGGAAAGGCAATAAAGGTGGTGGATCTGCTGCAACATTCTGCGGAACTGGATGCGCTTTTTATGTTTGGGTATATATCTCTCGTAGGCCTCACTTCCGCGTGTTCCAAAACTTAATGTGCTAACTTATGTGACTAGTTCCCTCCGAGCTCCCATTTTCCGTCCGACCTTAAACTTGCATATGATTTGCTGTTGCACCACGCTGCACTGACAGGCAACGCTTCCTCGCAAGCTCTTCTCGCCTTCTTCCATGCAACAGGTTACTCAGATGTCGTTCCCATCGACCAAGCCCAAGCATTATTATATTATACATTTGCTGCTCAGGGTGCACAAATGGCTCTGGGGTATCGGTACTCGAGCGGTATTAGCACAGTTGAAGACTGCGGATGGGTAGTCGAATGGTACGAGGCTGCTGCAGATGAAGGTGAATGAACCATAATTTTTGAGTCTGCAAAGTTCTTACAAAGCATCCTAGCGATGTCGATGTTCCTGTCTGGTCCCCCTGGTGGCCAGACCCTTCCGCAGACTGCAATGCGGTTGTCTGATTTAGATGGGGGTGTGTTCGGGCTGGGCACCAGTGTTGCATCTACCGGCTTGAACGTTATTAAGCCCGCTGTCAAGGCTGGCTTAGCACAGACTGCTGGCAAGACGTGGGACGACATTCTTGAGTACTACATCGTGCATTTTTTTCATCTACTATGTCACTTGTGAGTAGTGTTTCCTTGATGCTCACCGACTGCCGAACGAGTCCGAGCCTTTCGATTGACGTTCATTGCAGTATCTGCCGATTTAGTGCATAATTAACTGTTCTCATCTAATTCTGCCAGTGGTCAGATGTAGAAGTCAGGCTCTTGGCTTCGACTGTCGCATTGTGAGTGGTGATAAATCATTTGTATTGGGTACTTACTCCGCACAGATGGCCATGTTAATGAGGGTAGCACCAATTGATGCCCACGACAAAGAATACATCATAACTTCTCGAACCGCTGAAAGCGGCATCACTTCCTTGTTAATGCAACCGTTTTGGGATGTTTGTAGAGTATGGCATTCATTTCAGTGTCTGCTGATTTGGTGCGTCTTCGAGCAATTAAATATTCTCACATGAGTTCAATTCTAGCCGTCTAATTCTGCTAGCGGTTAGATGTAGAAGCTACAGCGCGCTGCAGGGCGCTGAATAGCTGAGAATAATCAACACTGGCTAAAGGACATCCCCTTTCATACTTCTGCTGATGCCCATCTGCCCACGGTCCTGAAGGTACGATTTTTTGATTCCAGATGGGCTTAGCCTGCATGACTTACTTCTATTCCCGCTTCGTACAGTGCCGCATGTGTCTTCCTTCATCCTCCAAAGTCATCCTCATACAAACATCCATGTTGCACAAAGACGTCAAAAAATTCTGGACTGTATTGGTATCAAATTTCTGGAATGTTTCTATTTCTATTTTGAACATGTTGGTAATGGCATTTACTCAGCGAGGCATCATCCCATACAGTGACTATTCTCTGCAGGCTCAAAGCGACAAGCTTCTGCACTACTTTGGACGTCAGCGGTGTAACCTACAACTACCCAATGACCCATGGCGTGCGTGTATCATTTGGCAGGCACTCAACACCATCCGGACATGTAGAACAGGCAAATTGTTGCATGCTGTGATGCTCACGCCAAACTGGCAGGTTTAATGACTCTTTCTTACTGCCACTTGAGGTGCAGGTTGGCCCTAGGAGGCTGTGGCAAAGAACTTTTCCTGTAACAAGAAAGCACCCACAGACAGGAACAAATGCAAATGCAACTCCACTCGCAGATGATGAAGACGAATAGCAATGCATCCACTTACCTTGATATCTTGAGCTAGCATCAACATTCTCACATCTGCTTGAACCAATGGACACTATGAACACTCGTGACTATTGGTCATTGATCTTGTGTCATTCGTGTGCAAGCGCGAAGTGGAGATCGAGTTGAGCGCTTCTGATACGCCCATACAACTTGAATGTCCGACAAAATAATAGCGCCTGCCACGAGTATTACGAATGGTCCGATGTCTTGGCAGTGTTAGCACCCTGCACATCTCGGCAGTTCATACTTATCTTTGGCACATTCTCCTCCAAATCTGGTGAAAAAAATTCCCAGGTGAAATTTAGCCCCACTGGATTCGACGAACACGGGTTAATTTAAATGGAGGCGATCTATCAATGACTCAATGAGAATGTGTGGCTAACCCCAGTCATGCGCACCCATCCTCAGAATCCCACAGGATAGTTATCATCTCACCGTCAGTAGTACGCACGCTATCCAACAAACCTGAGTATCCAGGCATGCATCAAGTCAGTGTTTGATCAAAGAACATAGATGGCTATAATTAAGTATGATTGACATTGAGCGCAGCTCCAATAATTATATGACAATGTAACATAGTGAGGTACTGAACCGTTCAAAACATCATAAAGGAGGCGCGGCCATTGTAAGAAAAGAGCGTGTCACTTTGTGATAGTGTCAAAGGTCGCTTGAGCGCAAGCTGCACAGCGTCGACGGTGCTTGGCAGCGAGGTCACTCCGAGCTGCCATCCTCTTCCTGCAAACCGAACACCTAAATTTGATACCAATGTGAGTGATGATATGGCGAGTGAAGCTGTCGACCTTCAGTTTCTTGCCACAACAGCCGGCGTGGGGCATGATCCAGGAACAGGTGAATAATTCGTCTGAGTCAACATCAATGGGATGATATTGATGAAAGTGGCCGAGAATGTTCTGGGATACGAGCTCATGAGTGCAAGGTGTTCCTTTGTTGTGCCACCTGCAAGGATGAGTACTATTGTGCTCATTAGAGGGGTTGATGTGGGATGAACTAGAGTAACTAGTGCCGTCATAGCGCAGAGGACAGTGAGGTTGTGGATGATTAAAGATGGGAGCAGGAGGACGAGATATGCTCAATCCAATTGCCTGGTTGCCTGTCGGCGAGCAGATGGTATCTATATAAAAACACAACCAAGTAAGAAGGGTGTCCTCGACAGTCATGAATCCTCTTACCAAGGCATAGACACTGAGGCTGTGGCGCATGTAGTACACAAGTGGTAACATCCGCCACTACTATGCTGGTTCGACTAGAAGAACCAAATTATCAGTGGTGAATGACGACTTATGAGGGACGAACGCACTCCTCAAGAGGATCGATGGCCAAGTCATTATTGAAAGAGGTCATATTCGTGTGACTGCTGAATCTCTTGAGGAGTATTTAAAATATATGTACCTTAGAAGCTTAAGCACATCCTGCAGATGATGAGCGAGGAGCGATACTATCTCTAGTAGATCCGAGGATTAAGAAAGGAGAAGAGCGGGAAAGATACATGGATGCAGCTGAGGAAACCATGTTTTTATAGCTGATGGGTGTCCAAGCTTGTTGCCATTAATGAAACGCGACCGCAAGGATAAGAAACATGTCCATGAGCAGACCTTGCCAAGGGGGATATTGCAGCGGATAGACATCATTGGCAAATCAGGAGATTGTCCTCGTGGATTTCGACATGTTGGCTTTTTGGCTGTTGGATGGAGTGGTCCGATAGCCGAGGCTAGTGGCAATGGCATATGACTATTTGCTTTACCGATTTGATGACCTCATTGAACTGTTGAACGTTGAAATTTTGAAAGGCCACCACTGTGGAAAGGTTTAACGTTTAACAATTGATATGCTTAGTAATGTACACCTATGGGTGTTGCCGACTCGGCTCAACAAACAGTAGTAACAGATTCGAGTGGACAGGTCAATGATTGCAAGCATGCTTGCGCTCGAACTCGTTCATTATTCCCTCAATATTTTCGCCTCCGAAGACGTCACCTCCTTCACTAGTCACTTACGGACCTGGTACAGAAGACAGTTCATCCAAATGAATGAATGTTACATTGAAATACATAAAACTTCAGCCTGAGTGCACATGTACCAATGCTGTGTGATTCTTTCTCGTTCCAAGTCTAACAAAACGGCGATCAGTTGCCCCGCCACCCAGCGGCTCCAGGCTCCAGCTGCTCGCGTCCCACCCTGAGTTTCGCTCGGTCCAGCCCAACCACCCAAAGATTGTGCCGACGAATGGCAGCATTAGCGCAGACAAAACTGGAATCTGTAGCATCAAGGACATCAACTCGTATCAGCACTTCTCATCGAAAGGAGATTCTTATGGTGCACGGAGTCTGTAATACGATCAATCAAGGTTATTCAATGATGCTGATCAGTTAGATCTAGTTAGTGCATACATCTTACTCCTATGACACGCGGTTACAGCACACCTGGCCGGTGCACGAGTACAAAACCACCCTCGACCGCCTCCCACTCATCCTTCCCTTGAGGCGCCATGCATCATTGACCAAATTTTTTTGATGAAAACTGCATTCCTGTTTTAATCCGAGGTAAAGCTTTGTTTTCACAGGTTTAATCTGTGAAATGAATTCAATGATCGTGTCCGCACACGGACCTTGCACCGCAGTGCTTACATGGCTCGATGCCCCTCTTTCTGTGATCTGGGCACCCGCGCTTTAGGTGAACTGCATCGTTTCTGCTTTACTGCCGTTCAGCAGGAAATTTTCGCTACCCACCACAAATACCTCTCCCCTACCAGTGTTTTCTGTAGATAGCGATCTATACTCAAATTTTGTACCTTAGCACCGGTCCTACCCGAGCTCTCGCAGCTGGGTTCTCCGGATTGCTGAATGAATTTATGTTTGTCCGGCTACTCATGTATTGTCTCTGTGTACTTACATCGATCTTCTTCAGTACTTTGTCGACTATATCTTTTATGTGTCTATAATGCCAATTGATTCACATTATGACATTATGACTCGAAAAAGCGACCGTAGCAGGCTCTGCCACGAGTGGCCTTTCGCGTTATTGGAACTCGAGAGCCTTAATTATCCAAGGTCGTTTAATTTGCATTACTTTGATTCGCATCACATATTACCCACTTCATTCATTCATACGCTGAATGTGTCATGAGGTTCCCACCTGCGAGACTAAAAAAATTGTGGTCTATGTTTGATACGAAGAGTATCGTTAAGACGCTGATTGATTTTCTGATTGTTACAATCCGTGATATGAATAAAGTGGTGTCTCGTACAGTCAGGCCAATATAGCAGATCTATTTGACTCCATTGAAGGTGGCGAGGTTTCCAGCATTGTTCACTGCCCTCGAAATTTCTTGGCGGGAGAGGAAAATAACGAGTCATCCGACTCTCCTGTTCCGCAAAATATCTCGGCAGCGGACCTAAATATGAATTTGGCTACGCAGTATTTTCCACGTTTCCCTTTTCTGCAAATAGCAGTACCTCGCTAAATCGTGAACTCTGGTACCCTGGGACCAGAGCAAAAGGTGAGACCGGTCTTGCACACGTCAAAGTTTTTGTGCTGTAGTCGTAGTAGTAAGTGCTTCACAAATTTCATACTCACTGGCACTATTTTTGTCTTGTGGAAATAGGGACTTTACGGAAACTCACCTCCTGGTCTGACGGACAATTTCCAAAGGTTCCTGCTGACGCACCTTCTCCGAGTCTCAAACTCCAGTCCTGTATTATGCACTTGAGAATTCCATTACACGACAACCCGGTGACCAGCCCCCAACTACAACGAGTTGCTTAAATCCTGGGGTCATGTTTATACCAAAATGACAGTTTCAGCAAGGATTGAATCATTCGCAGCGCTAGTCGAAGATAACAACTTGTGGGCAAATTGAAGGCAAAGGAGAGATGTGATGATTCGCTCACAGCCGTCAAGGTGCTTTCAATCTTCCCATCGCTTTTTCCTGCTTTGCATCTTTCCGCTTTACTGTCTGAATGGTTGTTTCAACACACCACTTTGAAAAAGCTGCTCGCACACACAAATTAGAGCTTCCAAGCCAGCGGAAGTGAGGGTATCCGGCCCTTTCTCCGTATATGCTGAATACGGTATCCAAAGTAGACTGTGTCTTTGTAAAAAGAATAAGAACCGACTGCATTAAGTAGAGTTGTGAGCGTTTTAATTATGCTTGAAAATTGCATTCCTCTGCTCACCGACTGTTGAGTGAATCCAAAGAGCCCGGTTCTTTCAGCTGGCGCGCATGCTGGCTGGGGCCATTATGGTATGCTGTACGAGTGCAAGCGCATGAGATGGTACTGGTATCAAGCCAGCAGCCTGAGATGCATGGGACCTTTTCGTAACTCGTTATTCTTTTGTAGGGTTGTTATTTTCCACCTGGTTCAAGCATGTCCGACCTATTCCCATTTGACATAGCACCACATTGCTTCTCTTTTTATATCTCCTGCAGAAGTACACCGGGCTCATCAGTGACTTGCATTGAACTGAATTTCCTCCGAGTCAGGGAGGCCTCGGCGTTTAGCCGCTGACCACCACTCCACACTGCAAGGATATATTCTTTGGTCACTACAGTGGCAAGTATTAAGCTTCTGCACCAATTTCAATGTTCGTACAATGTCCGTCGAAGCTCAAGCGCTCAAGGCTTCTTGTAGAGGTGGAGGTGAATGAATGAATATTCTATTTTACGTTCTGTAATGTCAAGTTCACGTGACTTGACCCAACACGCTTTTACTGCACCCCCTACTAGTTATGGATTGTGGGAGCCTGACTGTAGCCTACCAATAGCTAATGATTGCTTTGGCCTTGGTGACTGTGTGAATGTTATTGCTGTTCGGACATGAAGAACGGGCCCAGGTGGAGGCTAGAGACTGCTCGTCCCGATTTGTGCAAGCGACGTACGTTACTTGAGCAACGGGTTGCAATTGGCCAAAATATACAGCATGCACCCGTTATCAATGTGACAAGAGATGATACTGGCTGCCACGTAATGCATAATGTTTCCAAATTTATCCCAGATGATTTTTTTTCGGGAGTGCTTCAAGTTCGTGTCTTTAATGCATTCAGGGCCACCAGCAACACGTTGGCCGCGGCCCGCTCATGGTCGCGGCTAGGCTCGAGGCCAGCCTACGTATACTGCCACGATGCTCCATCTCAAATTGAATAGTCAGACTCGTTGCAAGTCTAGGTTGTGGCGGTTGCTGGCGACCAAATCTCTGTTCAAACTTTAGGTTTGTATGTTTGATGCGGGCGTCGCGGTCTCTGAGGGAGGCAAGTGACTCAAGGGGAGATCGCGAGGCCAGAGTTCTGTTGTATATTGTCAGTTGGATAAATTTGAGGTATCATGTACTAACTCGTGTATTACACGCGACTTGGGCATGCAGAACAGGCCATGATTTCGGACGCTGCACAGCCTGATACTCTGAGTCATAGTACTGACCCAAGTTCAACGTTACTTCAGCTGCGGAATAGCCAGAGCTAGTAGATTACATCCGTTATTAACGTATCAGGAGGCTTCTTCTGTGATGTCGATGAGCAGTGGCTTGTTGGCTGCCTCCCCAGCGTTGCGTGTTGTTCAGTGCTCATGGTTATCGTCTGTCTGCCAAACTTCTCTGCACACTCCGAGGTATACATCCTTTTACCTGGCTGACACTGCGATCTCCAAAGAAGATGGGTGGAACTGGACAAGTCTGGATCTCGGTGAGTTTGATGTAATGGCGTGGAATGAGTACTCCGTCGTGTACAAGCATCCACTGGCACATATTTATCTTATCAGATAAAAGTAATTGCTTGCAAACGTGGCATTTCCAGGTTCCGCTGGTGTCACATTATAGCTTGTAGCTCGTTCGACCAATTGTCAATTACTAATACAGCTTTTAGGATTCCTATAAGCTACAGCCATTCATGAAGCCATGAGCCCCCGAAAAAACTCAAGTTCAAGGCGGGCAACGTGGTTGGCCTTTGGCTTGGTGGCGCTCGCTGCGTTCTCTGCCTCAGCCCAGCCTCAAACCGTCAGTGTCATGATGGTTGCACGGCCATGAATGCTAACGTGTTCTTTAGGACAGTATAGAGACCACCCAGTCGGAGCTGGAGCCCAGTGTGCAACAAGTCCCAAATGACGTATGCAGGCAGATTCAAGATATCCCCGTGTTTGGACAGTACTCATTCTTGTATAGGCTACCGTGTATTTGGAACCAGATTTCGACCAGGGTGCAGAGGGTGAGCAGGGTCTCCTTCAGCGCTTCAGGGATCTAACACATCACACAGCAACAAGAGCGTACAAGTCTGCTCTATTCACACTTTCTAACCTCACCGCACATCCGCCATCTCATACACACAATGCGTTTTCCCAACCAACTACTACAACACCTTCTCTTCTCTCTGCGCTCCTTCCCAATCCACAAGGCCAAGGTCCTCTAGGAAGTGCAATCCGTATAGCACTAAAACTTCGTCAACAATTCTTTCTTTTCCGTCTGTTTGGTGGACCCAGTGGAAGTGCTGCGAGGAGAAGGGATGAGGAGATGCGTGGAAAGGCAATAAAGGTGCTGGATCTGCTGCAACATTCTGCGGAACTAGGAAATCTGGATGCACTTTTTACGCTTGGGTATATATCTCTCGTAGGCCTCCCTTCTGCGTGTTCCAAAACTTAACGTGCTAACTTATGTGACTAGTTCCCTCCGAGCTCCCATTTTCCGTCCGACCCTGAGCTTGCATATGATTCGCTCTTGCACCACGCTGCACTGACAGGCAACGCTTCCTCGCAAGCTCTTCTCGCCTTCTTCCATGCAACAGGTTATGCAGATGTCGTTCCCATCGACCAAGCCCAAGCATTATTATATTATACATTTGCTGCTCAGGGTGGTCACAAAGGTGCACAAATGGCTCTGGGGTATCGATACTGGAGCGGCATCAGTACAGTTGAAGACTGCGGACGGGCAGTCGAATGGTACGAGGCTGCTGCAGATGAAGGTGAATGAACCATAATTTTTGAGTCTGCAAAGTTCTTACAAAGCATCCTAGCGATGTCGATGTTCCTGTCTGGTCCCCCTGGTGGCCAGACCCTTCCGCAGACTGCAACGCGGTTGTCTGATTTAGATGGGGGTGTGTTCGGGCCGGGCGCCAGTGTTGCATCTACCGGCTTGAACGTTATTAAGCCCGCTGTCAAGGCTGGCTTAGCACAGACTGCTGGCGAGACGTGGGATGACGTTCTTGAGTACTACATCGTGCGCTTTTTTCATCTACCATGTCATTCTTTCTACTTATGTAAGTTTAGTTCAACGCCGACAGAGGAGAAACAGACTTTGCGTACAAGTTGGGGAAGATCTATTACCAGGGTAGCATCTACTCTTCTGCGGGTGGTATCGGTTCTGGCTCGGAGGGGGTTGGACGCGTCCTCCAGGACTTCCATCAAGCTCAATTTTACTTCCTCCAGATCGCACGGCAGATTTGGCCTCGTGACCCTACGAATCCCCTACAGCATGGTGCACCTGGTTACAAGGCTGAAAACGTCAAGCATCCCGGATTTGCACCAAAGAGCGCGGCATATCTCGGCCGGATGTATCTCCGGGGTGAGGGTGTGAAGCAGGATTATGCGATGGCCATGATGTGGTTTGAACGAGGGGCCGAGTTTGAGGACAGAGAATGCCACAATCTGTTGGGTGTCATGTGGAGAGATGGGCTAGTGCCTGGACGCCAGGACATGAAGACAGCACTTGCACACTTCACTAGGGCCGCAGGTCAAGAACTCGCTGAAGCTCACGTCAATCTTGGAAAGTACAACTATTGTGAGCCTATATTTCCTCAAACGAACGCTTGTATTTGCTCAACAACAAACAGACCGCGGCGAATTCAAGCTCGCTATCACGTACTTTGAAGCTGCAGTGCGCTTTGGCTCGACGTTTGAGGCCCACTTTTACCTTGCGAAGATTCACACCCTAAACATGCGTGTTGCAAATGAAGGTTTCGCAGCAGGCTTTTGCGCTTCTGCGGTTTCCTTCTTCAAACTTGTTGCTGAGCGGGGAGTTTGGGATGATGACCTCCTGGCAGATGCCGAAACTGCCTGGTATAGCGGCACCGAGCGTGGCAAGGAAATTGCGATCCTTAAATGGTGGGTTGCGGCAGAAAGAGGATCCGAAATGGCACAAAATAATCTCGCTTATGTTCTAGACCAAGGTAAGCTCAAATGAAAGTTGAAGCCCTCGCAACCTGATCTATTTACAGATCGGAGCATGCTTCGTCTCACGCGGTTCGCCCCTATCGAGGCATCCAATGATACCGCTCTCCTCGCCCTTACTCAGTGGACGCGTTCCGCTGCCCAACGAAATATTGATGCACTAGTCAAAGTTGGTGACTACTATTACCACGGTCTTGGTGTCCCCGATGAACCCGAGGCACTTAGATGGGAAAAAGCGGCCAAATATTATCAGAGCGCTGCCGATACGCATTTCAGTGCGCTGGCGATGTGGAATCTAGGTTGGATGTATGAGAATGGTATTGGTGTACCCCAGGTGAGAATTTTGACCCTCGGATGATACTCGTGGCTCATGAACATCCTTGACAGGATTTCCATCTTGCTAAGAGGCATTATGATATGGCGGTCGAGACGAATAGCGAGGCATACTTGCCTGTGCTACTCTCCCTCGTGAAGTTGTATGCTCGGAGTCTCTGGTACACTCTTCAGGGTGGCAAGGATGGTCTTAATTTGTGGAAATATGATGCAGACAAAAGTGCGGCGCATCTCACTATAGTCCACGATCTTGGCTAATGTGCTTGCAGTGTCTGTAGCAGAAAGGGCTCGCTTGAACCAGGAAATAGATAGTGGTCCCCAAGACACTTCTCAAAAAGATGGCGGTGCTCAACCTGTCCCTCACAAGGAGGAGAGGGCTGTCGAAGAGTCTGAGGATGATGGGAAGTGGTATAGAGGCAAAGCCAGCGAAGATTTCCGCAGGCGAAGGCAGGGCGAAGCCGCTCGTACAGCAGCTGCTGAGGAGGAGGATGATCTATACCAAGTGAGCATTTCCTCTATTATCATTTCGCCACGCGCTTTCTTATCCTCCAACACAGTGGGCACTAGAGAGAAAGAACGCGGAAAACGAAAGGGACACCGACTTCGGTCCCGAGGACTATTTCGAAGCTGCTACTCGTGGTGGACACCAAAGGCAGGAAGAAGTAGATGAGTTTACGGAGACGTTGTTACTGGTGGCTCTCTGTGGTCTTGTTGCGCTCCTGATCTACGTCCGCACGCGTATCGTGCGTAGAACTAGAGGGCAGGAACAAGAACCGCAGCAGGACCGTGAGGGTCAGAGAGATTTAGGGTTGTTCCCGCCACCAGGCGATCCAGCCCGGCAGGAATGGAACATCGCGCATTAGCGAATGATATCACACGTTCTGTATTATGGTTGCAAGTATATAGCCGTGACAGCACATCAAAACGTAACTTTGGGTCATCAGATCCGATTTGAAACCTCGAGTCTTGCTGCCACCTTATTTGTGGATATTTGGCTAGTCAGCCCCTTGTGCGAGCACCGCGGGTTGTTGAAGTGTCGAGATTCGAGATAAACGTCAGCCTGGGAATCACTGTAAAGTCGGGCATAACTCAAGCATAACTACAAGTTTACACTTCTCGGTCTTGTGATTAGACCCCATTTCAAACCTCGAGGAGTGGTTCACCTTTACGACGCCTGAGCTGGCACCCAGCAGCACCATTGCCACTATGAGCTTCAACCTAGAAGATCTCGAAGGCCCCATTACGCACATCCTCACTGCCCCAGGTGTTGATTTGAGCACCATCAGCGCGAAGGGAGTTCGGCAGAAGTTACTGGAGGACGCCGCGTTGGGCCTGACCGCTCGAGGACTGAAGGAACGGAGGACGGAGGTGGACGCTATGATTTCGGGTATCTATGAGGTCGTTAGTCGGCAGGCACAAACAGACGAATCGAAGAGGAAACGCGAGGAAGGGACAGATGAAGGCACGGAACAGGAAGAACAAGGAGAGGATACGGAGGACCAAGATGACGCTGTAGAGGGGCACGACGGAGAAGCATCGGAGGAGGAGGACGTCAAAGTGCCAACGAAGAAAAAGAAGGGTGCTGCGAAAAGTGTCGAGGAGGCTGATGCTGAGTTGGCCAGGAAACTTGCATCAGAACTCAACTCCCGGTCGCGGCGTGGCGCATCAAACGGGGTATCTGCCACGCCCAAGAAACGTAAGACGAAGAAGAGTGCAGCTGTGGTTGACTCTGGTGCTGAGGATGATGGTGAAGATGAGGGGAAGCCAAAGAAGAAACGCAGTGGAGGTGCAAGAGGAGGTTTCGCGAAGGAATATATTCTCAGGTGCTTCAAATGCCCCTGTTCTATGCCTTTTATTACCGTGCGATATCCTCATCTTTTCTTCATTTTACAGCGAATCTCTATCGGTGGTTGTTGGCGTGGACAAGCTTTCACGCCCCCAAGTCGTGAAGAGACTATGGGAGTATATACGTGGCCATGAACTTCAAAACCCCTCCAACAGACGTGAGATCATGTGCGACGACAACATGCGAGCTGTCTTTGGTACTGAAAAGGTCGATATGTTCCGGATGAATAAAGTTCTCGGACGGTATGTCCACTCCGACTGCTTCAAGATTCATGTTCTTATTGCCTCCGCATTTAGGCATTTACATGCCCAGTGACAACCCTGAGGAGAGGTACACCAAGCCGACGTGTCGTTAGTTCTACAGTGGTTACCGCTATCTCTGGCACGCATAATTTATGGATTACAGTCAGCCCTGTGTGTTCGCACAACTGGACTTACACAACGAATCCGGAACAACAGACTCAACACGTACAAAAAAAATAACAGTCTCGAAGCACTTAGGTCGTAAGTAAATATGGTATGGCTTGCCAGTACATGAATATTACCATGAGTATCGTGAATGACTCTAGAAAAATGCCAGCTAGTTCAAATTTTGCAGCTTCATCCACTCCTTGTCGTTTGCATTAAAATCCACACCCTTATTCTTCCACCACCTCCTTGCTTTGTCTCCACCGCCAATCGCATCCTCAAGCGCTTCTTCGATGTCGCACATACGATATTGAATCGGTAACCCACTCTTATCCCACCACTCCAGCACTTCGCTTCGGTTATGCCGTGTTGCACCGGTCAGCACATCCTGGTCAAAAATAAACTGTAGCCCGCTTCCAAGCCACCACTGCAGAACCTCCACCTTCCCCACGCAGCTGGCATGGTGCATGACATGACGGTCATACGTATACTCCAGCTGCGACGTCGCCCACCACTTAAGGACATCCACATGCCCCGCTTGACTCGCTAACTCCATGACACGCCCGACCTTCAAGGGCAGATTATTGGCGAGATGCTGGTACTTCCACCACTCCAGGACATCAATGCGATTTTTCGCGCTAGCACCTTCAAGAGCAGCTTCTGTGTAGTCCAGCGGGAGCCCAGAAGTCACCCACCAGTCCAGAGACTCTACTTGGCCACTACGAGAGGCTCTGTCAATGGCACGAGCAATAGACCCAGGCTTGGGGGGATTCACTAAATCTGGATGTTGCTCGAAGCCATGTTTCCACCACGACAGCACATCTATGCGACCGTGCTTTGATGCGTGAAAAGGGATCAAATCATCTTTGAAGATAGACAAGAATACGGGGCGATATTGTGTAACGAAAAATTCCAGCACATTGACGTAACCAAATCGCACGGACGCAATGGCGCCGTGGCTTGAAGGGGGATTAGCTGCGGGGTCTGCTGCACGGATAAGAGGGACGTAACCCGTGAGCATAGAGAGGTCGATGGGTGTAGGATTGCTCCAATCGCTGGGAGGAGACAAGGAAGTAGGAATGCCCAATGCCCGAGAGAGCTCCCAATCACCAAGATGATCAAAGATCTCAGCCAGAACTTCGACAGGTAGATCTACAGGACGTTCTGTGGTACTCGTATCTTTCCCTTTGTCCATAAGAGACGTTGGCGCATCACTAGATATCGTTGGAAAATGATAGGTGTGGAAATCGTGCTGGGCTAATCTCGATGCAAGCTCTACGTCCGCGCCTGATGTTGGCAGGTTGCGAACTTTGAGGAAAAGCACGAGCTCGTCGTGTGGGAGCCGACAATAGGCATTGAAAACAGCTTTAAATGGATTGTCATGATTCTGAAGAGAGTTATCAGATCAGCACTAGTGTGGAACGTAAGAATGATGAGAAAGATATTCACCGCCATATGCAGATGCCCAGAAAGATGTGGCTTGGGAATGAGATGCACACGAGGCTGTGAGGAAACGGACCACGTGGCTATGTTGAGACACAATGAGCTCCAACTTGCAGCTTTAAGTTACTCTGCGTATATGTTCAAGTCTTCGAGTCCTTTATTAAACCTTTCGCAACCTGCACTGGAACGCATCTGGAGCCGCGAAAGGACCGTTGATTCAAACTCAGGTCATTCCAAGTCAGTCCAGAAGAGTCCAGGCAGATTTGTTCGAGGCGTCGGAAGAATGTGCTGCCCTGTCTTTATGATGTGGTGCAAAACGGCATCGATGGTCGCCCTGATCGAGGTCCTACATAGTCCGCCTCGACTCGGAAGATTTGCACCTGGCCTGGAAGTTTGACTCGGAGTCCCGGACCCGTCGACTCGTCACATGGATTTTGGAGAACAAGAGTTCCAGATTCTGCTCAACCACGCTTAGTCTTCTCGGAGGACTGCCGACCTTTCAGTTGTTCGGGAGCGGGCCCCTCAGGGTCATCGACGAGGTGAGAGTATCTATTTATTCACGCGGGCGCTATTTTACCCAGACCATGATACGAGAGTACTTGTCATATCCTTGTTTGCCTGAGCTTATCTCTCTAACTTTGGTCAAATGAATTTAGGGTCTGGTTTATCAAAGTAATAGACATTTCTCTGTCTGTATCTGTGACATGTGAACAGCAGGTCCTATACAAAACAATCATTCTGCTGTACGAGTGTCGCACTGGTAGCAGTGCCCAAGAACCCTATTCTTCATCCCTGCATATAACCAAGTACAGCAATCATACGTACATCCAGAACACCCGAAGGAAAAGAGTTACGGAAGGCTGATAAGTATGCTGTAAACTTACCACATGCAGTATCACAGGCGCTTAAGCTTCCGAGTCAGCACCACTCAGAGTAATCAGCAGTCTTTCATTGTTCATATCCGGGAGGGTAGACTACCTGATGCCTAACCTTCATCCTCGTGCGGCACAGTCCCCGGGCGATACAGGAAGAGTACGTTGTTCAGTTTCTGGAACACAATAGAAAGCAGTGACGCAGCCTGTACTTTGCAGATACTTCCACATCGATTGTGTGGCTGATGCAGTTCGTCGCACAGCATAATCAACATGCTTCTTGTAGCTCCGACTGAGTTTCACGTCGGTCTAGACTATATGTATACGTCACGGAAGATGTTCTTTGAGCGCGTCTTCTACGTTCATGGTCGTATTTTCTCCAGGGACCGTCGAACGATTCGCTCGAGGGACATTGGAACACAAGAGGCAATTGCAAGTCGTCGTCGTTCCGCCACTCTCATAAGTTATTCACGCCCAACACTGAATAGGCCGGATCAAAGGTCAGTCGTAATTGATTGCGTTCTTATCGTGTTCGTTGTTCATCATATACAGCGGCTATTGCTAAATCTGTAATACCGAGATATTGAAGCAGAAGTCACAGCAATAGGTGATCAATCAGCACTCACAGCCAACTACATAGATCCGGACTTCTTCTGAAAATTGTTTTGGAGAATGATACTTTGGTCGTACCTGCGATGTGTTTTTGGCTGTGCTGAATGACATCAGGTTCCCATCTTTGATCGCACGATCACATGTCACGGTCCAGGGCGATCATGTCGTCACGGCCGTGATCGCGTGATGACCCTTTTTGTAGCGCTAGTCAGAAATAGTAAGCGTTTTCCTCTGTGAACGGGGGATGGAATTACTCGTTCAAGGTATGATTACGGCTTTGATTCTATGTGGACAGGTACTGCATTCACTAGTCATGGACAGTCATCGCTTTCTGCTGTAAATCCAGTGATGCTCCTGTGCTGGTGACAGGTAGGAACACAAAAGACTTTAAATGGTAGTATGAGATACTGGGCGTTTATTTCACATATATATACTCTCAGTCTTAGCCGCCTTACTGACCACCCAACTTCGATATGCTCAGAGCGCTTGCTAATCTCTTATGTGGAGGACGGTATGCCATCTTAATGGCAGCACTATCAAAATTTCATTGATATTCGATATCAGCGACCAAGGCCAAACCCGGGGACCGCCAAGAAAGTTATATGGTACTTGCCCGCCGAAGGAAAATAAAGAGTACGAGATACATCCCCATCAACTGTTGCGACGAACTGACTTCAATTGAAGTAGCAAGCCACCAGCCAATGTCCGGAAGTCGTACGTATTAGCATGTTGCTGATGATTGCTTGGCGTAGTTGACAAGGCTTCCAGTACTGTTAATCCATCTCGGCCGCCTCCAGACCCCAAAAGATATCCGAATCAGCCGAATCTGGTAGCCCCAAGGACGTAGACCGTTTAAGCTCTCCACCGTGTCTCGTAGTACCAGAGTGTAGTGACTGTTGTCTCAGTGCGTACGTTCTACATCCTCAATCTTCAATGATCATCTTGTTTACGCTCATGAACACTAGATTGCTATCCAATAGAAAACTTATATAGTATCTTTTCTTTCTTTAGTTCTTTGGTAAAAGAATTTCAACTGGGGTTATTTTCTATAAACCCTCTTTCAAATAATCGAGTTTCGTCGGACAATGCTTATAGTTCATTAAATGTTAGACTTATTTCACCGAATACATACTTATCGTGGCGCCTCGTGCGGGAGCATGTGGGATCATACAGCATACAATGAAACAGCGGCATGTGGAAATGATGGACCAGTGCGAAATACGTTGTAACCAAGCGCGCGGGTCCATTCAGATATGCTGTATAGGATGCATTTCCAAAGTCCGCTGTAAGCAGGCTTCTACATCTTGATGCTGTAAAAAAGTGCGACGTCCTCTGTGTTCGTGAATGCATTTTCTCTAGAGGCGGTCGAACGATTCGATTTCGCTCGAAGGGACCTCAAGACGCACAACTATACAGGAGGTAAGTCATCGTTCCATCACCCGGGTTGTTACTGAAGCTGAATCAAGGGTCAGTCGGTAATCGATTGCGTTCTTATCGTCCTCGTCATGATCTACAGCGAACACCCTAGCGGCTGTTGCTAGATCTGTAACATCAAAGTGTTGGAGCAGAAGTCACAGCAATAGATCAATCAGCGCTTCAGCGTTCACAGTCAACTACTACATAGATCCGGACTTCTGACATCTTATGGAAATTGTTTTAGAGACTGATACTTTGGTGTGTCGCGTACCTGCGATGTGTTTTCGGCTGTGTCGAATCATGACGTCTCAGATCAAATTCATGCACAAGGTTGTTTAATTTTGTTTGATCTGCATGGCATAGTGCAGAGACGATCACAGTCCAGGGCGATCATGTCGTCAACGCCGTGATCAACTGACCCTTAATTCTGTAGCGCAAGTAATTAGTAAGCTGTTAACGCCGTGGGAGCGTTCAAGGTATAATAATAGAATACTTATCCATTGTACACAGGGACTTGAATACTTACAGCTTTGATTCCATGTGGACAGGTACTGCATTCGATGGAAAAGATGGACAGCCATCATTTTCTGCTGTGAATCCAGTGATGCTCCTGTGGCGGTGGCAGATAGGAACAAAAAGACTTCGAATGACGGTAGTGTGAGACTGGGCGTTTATTTCGCATTTCGCATATATATACTCCGATTTCTAGACGCCTTACTGACCACCTAGCCTCAGACATGCTCAGAAAACTTGCCAGTCTCTTATGCGGAGGACGGTATGCCATCTCAACGATTGCACTAAATTTCATTGATGTTCGATATCAGCGACCAAGGTCAAACCAGGGGACCACAAACTAACCTATACGGTACCAACTCGAAGAAAAACAATAAAGAGTGCGAGATATATCCCTGTCAACTGTTGCGACGAACTGACTTCAATTGAAGTGACACGGTACCAAGCAATGTCCGGAAGCCGTACGTATTGGCATGTTGCTGATGATTGCTTGGTGTCGTTAACAAGGCTTCCAGTACTGGTAATACCAATCCGAATCGGCCGCCTCCAGACCCCAGTAAATATCAAAATCCGTCGAATGGTCAAGTACCCCCCAGGAGGTAGTTCGTTTAACCTCTCCACTCTGTCTCGTACCTGAGTGTTAGTGACTATTGGCTCAGCGGGTACGTTCGACCTCCTTGATCTTCGATGATCTTGTTTACGCTCATGAACACTTGATTGCTACCCAATAGAAAGCCACTACATTTATTTCTTCTTTCTTTGATCCTTTATGTAGAACATTTTCAAGTGGGGCCCCTTCAGATGTATATATCTTCCAAAATCCTCCTGTAAATAATTGAGTTTCGAACGACACTTGCAGTTCATTGAATGCTATATTTCATTTTACCAAGCACTTATCGTGGAGCCTCGTGCAGGATGGTGCAGCAATGAAACAAGAGCAACGTGTGGAAATGACAGATCTACGTCATAACTATAAGCGGTGTCCATTCAGGCATATGCTGTATAGCCTTATAGGTTGCATTTCTAAAGTCCGCCTGTAAGCATCGGCGACTCCCTGGTTGAACGGCGAACGCTGAGAAAAAAGTGTGTTGGCTTCAGTGCTGGAGGCATTGCTGTAGTGGCGGGCCGACATACAGTCCATATTACTCTGCTCTTGCCGTACACATGGGGAACGACATGGTGCGGTAACGTTAAAAGTCACACTGATAGCTTGTCTGTGGTGCGAAGATGGCTTTATACTGTCGACGTGCATTGGCAGCTTTTCCCTCGATAAAGTCGAATTTTCGTGTGACTCAGTGCCAATGAGCACTGATCGAGGGAGAGTTTGGTTGGAGAGTGGCCATGTGATCAGGGTCCAGACTGTCCAGTGATACATGCGACAAAGATGAGTTGTAATGGGGCCTGGGAAGTATGGTGATCGCTGGAACCAGGCTATAATGCATTCTTCTGTGAAAGCACTGACTGAATGGTGTGGCTTGCAGTGATCGATCTTCTCCTCATTATACGAGCCGCATTCTATCATTAGAGGAGGGAAGGCAGTTGTTCCTTCTATGCTATGCCTTGTCCAGCCTGCTGCTAGAGATTACAAGATAGTCGAGTTGCCGATTCCCGTCTTCAGCTCAGGGACAATATCTTCCCCGATGCCACCCAGTACAAAAGCTTTCAAGTTTCCTAATGCTTGCAGTTCTCTTGTCCTCCATGACTCTGCTGACTCTCCCCCGATATGCGGCAGAAGCGTACATTGCGGGAAGGTCAACAAGCGCGGATCTACGTGCGGTTCATCGGGGTATACATCCAAGCCGACAGATGAAAGCTAAAAGTTGTGAGCAAAGACGACAAGACGATGGAAGAAGTGTTACATGATCGTCCTCCAATGCTCGTATCATCGCCTCTTGGTCCACTATTCGTCCTCGTGACGTATTGAGAAGCACACTCCCCCGTCGCAGGGTCCTGATCTCCTTCTCTCCAATCATACCAGCTGTGGATTGATTGAGAGGGACATGTAGGCTCAGTACGTCAGCCTGCTTGCAGAGTTCCTCCACGCTTGAGACATATTCGCACCAGTCTGGTACGGATTCTGCCTTCCTTCGCGAGAAATATATGATGCGCATCGGAAAGGCGTGCGCAAGGCGAGCGAATCTCAGACCAATGCGACCTAAGCCGAAGATCCCAAGCGTGCGCCCAGTAACGTCGTGAGTTTGCGCTGCATTACAGGGTGTCTTCCATGTACCAGAGCGAAGGGAGCGTTCGGCCATTGAGAATTGCCGCAGGCACGATATCATAAGGTATAAAGTGGTAGTAGCAGTAGCATCCTCGTTCGCTCTCGGAGTATTCGACACCAATATTCCTGGGGCAAATGCACATTAGCGATAGATGATTCTGACTGAGGGTAGACATTACCTCGTTCTTTGCAGGCTTGCACGTCGATTTCATCGTAACCACTGCCATTCTGAGCGATCCAGCGGACCTTGCTCGTATCGGCTAGAGCATGGATTAACGGTGCGTCAAATTTCCCTATGAGTTTAGAAGATGTGTTGCGCCTGTACAAGGCGACAGTCCCTTCATACGGCCCATCCGGCCCGAATGAGGCGAGGAAATGAGAACGAGATTCTGAAACTAGATGCTAAAGAGGAAAAGGGGTGATGACGCATAAAGCTAGAGGTGCATTGAAAGGGAAGCTAACTCACTATGACTTCGGCGATCCCATGAAACATCTCCTTGAACTCGTCTTGGACATACTCAATCTCACCTAAAACACATCAGAGTCCAAATGATCATCGGATAAACCAGACACTGACCACACAATAACACGCGAGGAAGCATTTCAGATTATACTGATTATCACAAGGCTTGTGGCAGAGGACAAGACTCAGGAAGCTGTTATCTTTCATTGATCTAACACGTGTTGAGGACATGGGACTAAAATAACTAATCGACATACCATGAGATCGCTCACATTCCACTCAAGCTTGAAGGCAAATAAATTACATATCACACTATCATTTTTAACGTCATTTCTGTCAGGAACGTTCCAACCTCGCTTGGTACAAGCAGAAGACCGCCCGTTACTGACACACCTACTAAAATCTACCTTCAACCATCTGTTGAAGCAACGTCAGACATATGCATCAAAGGTATGCAAACACCAGCATGAAACTCGCCATAGCAGCAATTTTTGACACGCCTCTGATTTTCTTGCATTCCTCTTGAACATTGTATCCGTGGCTGGTGTTAAGCGTTCCAGAATCGTAGTGGCGCTTCAAGTACCTAAGAAAAAAGATGATCAGGTGCTCAGATATCATCATCCGTGAGCGGTAGAGATAAGCCTAAGAACAAACCGGAGACAGACTTCCTCCTTGAAATCCTGGTATATCTTACGGTTACTCTTACGCTGATACAAGTCCTAATATCGAGAGTTGTTGGCTGTGAGAGAAGAAGAATAGATACCTCAAGTTTTCGCGCTTCCTCCTCGTATGGGTGACTCTGGTGTACGAGGAAGTGATCCGCAAGGACATAAAACGACATGCCGGAAAGATACATCTCGTAGAGACAAGCGGCCTTGTTCCCTCCATATCCAATAAAGCGTTCATCGCACCTAGAAAATATTATATTAGACAGAGCAAGACGGATTTTTGACTCGGATTTGGTTGGCACCATGGTGGCCCTTCCTTTCTGAAGATCACGTAAGGCTCGTATGCGGGGTGGTACTGCGTGACCTTGTAAACTTCACCAGGGGCGGCGGAATAGAATCGCGGATAATCGGTGCTATTATGGCCAGGAACCCAGGTGCGGTGGAACATATCGATCTTCTTCGCCTTGACCAGCGAGAGCAATGTCTAAAACGGTACCATTCAGTGACTTTCTAGAATATGTCGCTCATCATCTAGACCTGTTTATCGCGAGGAAAATATTTCTGGTCTAGACCATCTTGCTGTTTGATATATTCGAACGCAGGCACCACAAGAGCAGCATGTCCCTCCTTAAGAATTTGTCCAATCCTAGCATCTAGACTAGCCCTGATGGCAGAACGGAAGTCGGTGCAAATGGCAAAGTCCACGTCGAGCATCATGACAAATTCGGTACGAGCAAAGAGACGTGCAGCATTTCGCCAAGTATTCAATTGACGGTCGAAAGGCGTGAGAACGAGGTGTATGTCGACGTAGGTTGACATCGCGGGCGTTGATGCATACAGGTCATGCAAAGCATCCAGAAGGGCGTGTGTTGCACTAGGTTTGACATGGACAGTTGCAGAAATTGGACCTTTGACAAAAAAAATTGAGGAGAGACTGAAAACACAAACTATTGTAAGACAGGAGCAGACCTTGGTAGTATGTCACAAGCTCAGAAAAGACTTTGAATCGATTGAATGTGACCAGGGTGGTAATGGTAATATCGTTCTGTTCGAATGTCCCTGAAGCCCTGTAATAGTAGGGGACCACCTTGAGAGGGTGCATAGACTGCGAGAACGCCTTGGACAGAAAAAGATCTTCGCTCATTGGAATCCCGTCTGTTGTCCTGGCAGTTGTATGTTCGGATAACAACGAGGATGCAGGCCAAAGTAACATTTCCTGAGACGTTATGCCAGCGACCTTAACATCTTGATGAACTTGAACAGCGGCTATATCGTAGGAGGTTATGTACAACCTCGCAAATGTCCGTAGTGGAGACAGAATATGATTTGTTGTATAGAGGACCGCGGTCATAACATACAAAGAAGCTGAGAGACGGATGAACCTGAGGCCGCGACTGAAGTCTGACATGTGCCAAGCAGTGGAATATAGGTGTTACTAGTCTTCGGAATTCGCGAATCCCTTACGTGCAGATTGTGCAAATATTGCAATGAGCTAGTGATGTCGATGGCGGTGATGTACTAAAAGTGTTTGTAGACCTATTTTAGCTTACTGAGTTCAAATCTGGCCTCAGTTTGGCCCAAAAAATTACCTATGAAAATTGTCAAGTTTGCCTGTCCACAGGGTTTTCCTGATCCCGGGGTCCATTCCAAATTTCCAATCGACCTTGCCTCGCAAGGTAATTTAATGCTTCTTTGACCTCGCTGAGGCTGAATGATGTGGCTTGCAGTGATCAATCTTCTCCCCCATTATACGAACCACATTCTATCATCAGATGAGGGAAGGTAGTTGTTACTTCTATGCTACGCCTTGTCCAGCCTGATGCTAGCGATTACAAGATAGTCGAGTTGCCGATTTCCGTCTTCAGTTCAGGGACAACATCTTCCCCAACGCGACCCAGTACAAAGGCTCTCAGGTTTCCCAATGCTTGCAGTTCTCTTGTCCTATCTGACTCTGCTGAGTCTCCCCCGACATGCGGCATAAGCGCACATCGTGGGAAGGTCAATAAGCGTGGATCTACGTGCGGTTCATCAGGGTATACATCCAAGCCGACAGATGAAAGCTGGAAGTTGTGAGCAAATACGACAAGACGGTAGAAGAAGTGTTACATGACCGTCCTCCAGTGCTCGTATCATTGCCTCTTGATCCACTATTCGTCCTCGCGACGTATTGAGAAGCACACTTCCCCGTCGCAGGGTTCTGATCTCCTTCTCTCCAATCATACCAGCTGTGGATTGGTTGAGAGGGACATGTAGGCTCAATACGTCAGCCTGCTTGCAGAGCTCCTCCACGCTCGAGACATATTCGCACCAGTCTGGTACGGATTCTGCCTTCCTTCGTGAGAAGTATATGATGCGCATCGGAAAGGCGTGCGCAAGGCGAGCGAATCTCAGACCAATGCGACCTAAGCCGAAGATCCCAAGCGTGCGCCCAGTAACGTCGTGAGTTTGCGCTGGATTAAAGAGTGTCCTCCATGTACCAGAGCGAAGGGAGCGTTCGGCCATCGAGAAATGTCGTAGGCACGATAGCATAAGGTATAAAGTGGCAGTGGCAGTGGCATCCTCGTTCGCTCCTGGAGTATTCGACACCATTATTCCTGGGAAAACACACGTTAGTAACACTTGGTTCTAGTCGAAAGTGAACATTACCTCGTTCTTTGCAGGCTTGCACGTCGATTTCATCGTAACCACTGCTACTCTGAGCGATCCAGCGGACCATGCTCGTATCGGCTAGAGCGTGGATTAATGGCGCGTCAAATTTCCCTATACCTTCAGAAGACTCGTTGAGCCTGTACAAGGCGACAGACCCTTCATATGGTCCACCGGGCCCGAATGAGGAGAGGAAATGAGAACGAGATTCTGAAACCAGACGCTAAAGAGGAAAAGGGACGATGACGCATAAAGCTAGAGGTGCATTGAAAGGGAAGCTAACTCACTATGACTTCGGCGATGCCATCAAACATCTCCTTCAACTCATCCTGGACACACTCAATCTCGCCTGAAACACGTGAGTCAGAGTCTGAATGATCATCGGATGAACCTAGACACCAACCACACAATAACACGCGGGGGAGCATTTCAGGTTATGCTGCTTATCGCAAGCCTTGTGGCGGAGGACAAAACTCAGGAAGCTGTTATCTTTCGTTAATCCAACACGTGCTGAGGATATGAGACTAAAATAACCAATGGACATACCACGAGGTCGCTCATATTTCGCTCGCATAATTAAAAGCTTGAAGGTAAACAAATTTGGGCAAAATCGTCACAGGCACATCAGACTATCACTTTAACGTTATTTCTGTCAGTAACAATTCAACCTCGTTTGGTACAAGTAGAAGACCGCCCGTTACTGACACTCCATCATCTGTCGAAGCAGCGTCAGACACATAGATTGAAGGTATGCAAACACCAGGATGAAACTTGCCAGAGCAGCACGTAAGGCTCGTATGCGGGGTGGTATTGCGTGACGTTGTAAACTTCACCAGGGGCGGCGGAAGGGAATCGCGGATAATCGGTTCCGTTACGACTAGGAACCTAAGTGCGGTGAAACATATCGATCTTCTTCGCCTTGACCGGCGAAAGCAACATCTGAAAACGATACATTCAGTGACTTCCTCGGATATGTCGCTCAAAGTCCACGTCAAGCATCATGATGAATTCGGTACGAGTAAAGAGACGTGCAGCATTTCGCCAAGTATTCAATTGACGGTCGAAGGGTGTGATAACGAGGTGTATGTTGATATCGCGTGTGTTGACGCATACAGGTCATGCAAATCATCCAGAAGGGTGTATGTTGCACTAGGTTTGACATGCGCGGTTGCAGAAATCGGACCTTTGACAAACAAGTTGAGAAAAGATTGAACACACAAACAATCTCAAGACTGTAGAAGACCTTGGTAAGAACGAGGATGCAGGCCAAAGTGATACGTTTTGCCCGTGACCTTGGCATCTTGATGGACTTGGATAGCGGCTGTATCGTAGGCCAAGCTCGCAAATGAGACAATATGATCTGTTGACCGTAATCGCAAAATACAAAGAAGCTGCCAGACGGATAAACTTGAAGTCACGATCGAAATCTGACATGTGGCAAGCAGTGGAATATAAGTGTTGCTAGTCTCTGAGTCCCTTATGTGCAGATTGCGCAATATTGCAAGGAGAGTCTATGGCAAGTCTGGCCTGGGTCCTGCAGCTTACCCAAGCGAGCACGGCCAGAAGTGGCGAACATTACCTTCGTCCACGCCTAAATCGTTAATCAAACAATGACAGATGCCATCAGTCTCGACTTGCTTCAGGTCACTTACTTCCTTGTTACTCAAACCTCCGTGAGCGTCGGCCTCCTTCCTCTAAACCTTCGCAGACGATTGAGGAGCAACCGTCGATGAAAGATCCTCCTGCAAACCTGACGATTCTCAGAGATGTTGGCCAGAAGCGTCGTTTGGCTGAAGGTGCGAACGGTGAACCTTCCACCTCTGGACCACATGAAACCAGGACAACGCAGCCACCTCCAGAACGGTTCAAGAAGGAGAAAGGTAGCATCTTTATATCAAAGAAGAACAAGGTAATATTTCTTTAGGTTTCGGTGATCAGTACTCATAGTCATTATTCTATCAGTCTGGGGAACCATAGGCGATCGCTTGGATATCGCCATTCAATTGTACAGGTAATTCATCTTCAGGCCTTACGAGGATAATGTCAGAATGCCACGTTGCTCATCCAGCCCGAGGTTGGACTAGCAATGTGATGAATACATTGTACAATAGAGAATATAGCACACCCATCCTTTCATCCTTTCATCGTGGACACAGTTGCAGATAACGACACTGCAATCAGCTCGGTAAACAAAGACTACGAGCATCGTACGAATGGCCAGGTCTTGCGAAGGCACAAGAGACATTACGCAAAACTGCTCAGCACCCAGTGGAGGTGAAATCGAGTTGGAGTAAAAAAAACCCGGTGTCAATAATGCATGCAAGCGATTGGGCGCGGCCTGTCTTAGCGTTCAGTAAAATTTTGGACAAATAGGTGGAAGACGAGCCTGCTGAGACTCGGAGAATGTCCGCCGACGGGCTCTCCTCGCCTCTTTGGCTCTGATGGAAGCGCTCTTGATGTGTCCCAGTCCTTCATCGTCGCTATCGGACTCACTATCGACGTCTAACCCTTCTTCACGAAGACAAGGGTCCCCGACCGACATAGCTGCCACAATCAAGATCACATAGGGTAGACAGCCATGTTGTTGACTCCCAACAAGCATTCGAGAGAAGCGTGGGGAAAGCGGGAACAAGCTCGTTGCCTTCCCTAGAGGCGTCACTTGGCCCCCGATCGTTGACATAGACACCCCCGCTTGCGATACAAGAGGTGTACCACTAAGTGCACCAAGACGAGTGAGGACCGTCTCAGCCATTTTCAACACCTGTCTATCTGGAGGGGTTGGGAAAGGGAAGTTGACAACGGCGTCGATGTTCATGCTTTTCATCTGCAAAACGACACCCTCGATCGGCGTACGCAGGATTTCAGGCTGTGAAGATGACTCGAAATAATGCTCGTAGAGAGCGGAGGGATAGAGCCTGTCGCAATGTCCTGGACCTGTACGACCCGCGCGACCAGCTCGTTGGGCGGCGGAAGCCTTTGAGATCCAACTGACCTGAAAAGACTGGATACCGCTCGCTATATCAACTCGTCGACCAAAGTTCTCTTGCGATGAGCACGAGGAAGGTTGTCTGTACTTGCTGTGCCGAATGGCGTGTTTGTAGTCACAATAGTACCAATCTAAATTTTTTTAAATGAGCCTCTACGATACGATAGATCGTGTTGGAACTTACAGCAAAATGTTTTTGATACTCTTCCCATCGTCGTCGTCTTTGCGGTAGAAGCGTTTGGGGTCAAGTTGATTGTGCAGGTGAAGAGCCTCAATTTCACGATGCAATCGAGGGAGATCAGCTTCAGCGGGTGCTGGAAGGTCAAACCAGCTTGATTTTGGAGGGGGTGCAGGAGTAATGGTTCCAGAGGTAGCTGCTTCTCGTACAGTAGCAGGGGCGTCAGCGAAATATGCAGGGGGAAGCTCCCGGGATCCAATGGCGGCAATGGTCTGTAGCGAAACTCAGCAAAATAATGAAGCATATAACATGCATTACCTTTCCAATTCGTCGCCACCCAATCTGATAATGTCTTCTCCGTCACCAAACCCATGTTCCCGAGTGCCCTTTTCAATTTAGCCGACTGTCGAGCGTTTTTGATTTTGCATTGTCTAAAAGAGACCGCAAGTAAGTGATTTCTTCATCGTACGAGTCCGAATCCGAATCCAAGTCGCTATCGGAGGATGAATTTGAGCTAGAGTCAGACGAATGACGCCATGTCTTTCGTTGTTATCACGTTTCCTTGAACCGCTGCAGACAGGATTGACATAGCAGAGTAGGGGAGCTCAAAGTTGAGCGCTTCATGTACCAAGGTCCAAACACCACGGAAGACATTTTGATTATGATGATGTCGTACCTTGGTAGAGATCTTGGCAACTAGAAAGATCTCCAGCAAGGTCCGACATCATGATCATAATCAAACTTGGCGATGGGAATCTCTCCTGCGCAGCTGCCGGACTCATATCTGGTCTGTGGGAAGTTTCCTTATGCAGTACCTCCTATTGAACCACAGCCAGATATACTAATCTCTCACTTACCCTTTGACAACCATGTCATCTGAAACTCCTTTCCAAATCGACGTCCCCGACGAGAAATTGACCACCCTCCGTGCCAAACTGGAACTCGCTAGTTTCCCGAATGAACTGGAGGATGCCGGGTGGAAGTATGGTGCACCCCTGGCGGATATGAAGCGGCTCACAGAGAGGTGGAAAAACGGGTACGACTGGCGCAAATATGAAAAAGAAATCAATGAGCAGCTGCCAATGTTTACCCGCGATATTGACGTGGATGGTTTCGGAGCGCTGAATATTCATTACGTTCACAAGAAGAGCGAAACTGTCGACGCTATTCCCCTATTGTTTTGCCACGGATGTAGGTCAATTCGCATGCTCGCAGACCAACATATTTTGACCTTAACTAGGGCCTGGAAGCTTCTTGGAAGTCGGGAAGATTTTGCCCCTCCTGACTGCATCGGCCCCTGGACATCCTAGCTTTCATGTTGTGGCACTTAGTTTGCCCGGTTTTGGCTTTTCGGAGGCTCCCCACAAACAAGGCTTTGCTATTGATCAATATGCTGAGGTGACTACTATTCATTACAAATTTCAATCTCTCTACATATCGACTGTGTACCCAGGTAGCTCACAAACTCATGGTCGCCCTCGGGTACAACGAGTATGGTACGTTACTGAGTTACCGCTGTTGTCCCTCAAATGGATCAACGAATTTGTTCACTTCTCTTACAGTTACCCAGGGAGGTGACTGGGGTGGCTTTGTGAGTCATATTTTACAAGTAGACACGACTTATCGTTGAGATATACTCAGATTACTAGGAGAATGGCTTCTGTGTATGGTGGGAGGCATCACAAGGCATGGCACACCAACTTTCCAATGTATGTCACTTTCTCGCTCCGCACACATCTTAACTCATTCTTGTCTATGTAGTGCCAAAACGCCGAGCTGGAGATCGCCCCTGTCTTTCTTGTCTTTCTTGCTAACCCCATGGTCTATAGAGGAAAAAGCGGGCATCGAACGTACCTCGTGGTTCCATAACAAAGGACGAGGCTACTTCAGCCAACAGAGCACCCAGCCGCAGACACTCGGTTACGGTCTCACTGATAGCCCTGTTGGCCTGCTTGCTTGGATCTACGAGAAACTGGTCCTTTGGACCGACAATTACAATTGGTCTGATGATGAAGGTAACAGCAATATTGCTTTTCTGGATATCGCTCAACTGTTTCAAATAGTGCTGACATGGATCTCGTTGTACTGGTTCTCCCGCGACGGACCCGCTGCCTCCCTTCGCATTTACTTTGAATTGCGTGGTGATTGCGAGGATATAGGCCAAAATCCTACTATTCCTATGGGAGCATCATTTTTCCCGAAGGAAATCATAGTTTTACCCGCGGCGTGCGTTTCTATCAATCAACTTTGCTGAAACTAATATGAGTTTGTAGGTGGCTGCGCAAGTCGAACAACGTTGTTTTCGAGTCCCATCATAAGACAGGAGGCCATTTTGCTGCCACTGAACACCCGGAAGTGCTTGTTCAGGATATGCAGAAGATGTTTGCGAAGGGGGGCCCTGCGTTCGCAATTGTCCCCGGAAGAACTGGATATGCTTGAACGACCAGCTTTCCTCGCGTTTGCGATGAATATTGAGTGGAAGTGTACAAATATCAAATGTAATTCAAAATTTCGGTATCATACTCATTGCTGTATATTACTTACTAGGGTTCGGCGTTGCCGAATTTAACCTTGCTTGTCTGCACTCTTACTAAGCAGGTGGAGCTTCGTAAGTCACTGCGTTTGCGTTTTTCTGCTCGATTCAGATTGTCGTCTCCCGTAGCAGCTATGATTTGCTTCATGGTTAAGTTGTCAAGCGCAGAATTGAGCTTTTGCGACATAGTAGATGGTACTGGATTGTGAATGTAGAAACAAAGCCGTATACAGTTTATTGATATTTATTATTGTTTATTATTGGCAGAAAATCCCACACACATTGTCGCATGCCATATGACCTTGCAAGGAAGGTGAAATCGTATTATTACATTGTTTTATAACGTTATATCTAGAAAAGAGCGCAGCTGGGAATATCTGAGTCTCGCCGGTTTACTGATGGCTCGTTTTCCTGATCCCGGGGCAGAACATTTCCAAATTGCCAATTGACCCTTGCAAGGTTGATGATGCTTCATTAATATTGAGGCTGAATAATATTGAAGCAGTGACCGGATCGATCAATCTTCTATACAAACCACATTCTATCATCAGATAAGATTGTTACTTCTATGCTACGCCTTGTCCAGCCTGCTGCTGGCAATTACAAGGTAGTCGAATTGCCGATTCCCGTCTTCAGTTCAGGGACAATATCTTTCCCAACGCCACCCAGTACAAAAGCTTTCAAGTTTCCCAATGCTTGCAGTTCTCTTGCCCTGTTTGACTCTGCTGATTCTCCCCCAACATGCGGCAGAAGCACACATCGTGGGAAGGTCAATAAGCGCGGATCTACGTGCGGTTCATCAGGGTATACATCCAAACCGACTGATGAAAGCTGGAAATCGTGAGCAAAGACGACAAGACGATAGAAGAAATGTTACATGACCGTCTTCCAGTGCTCGTATCATCGCCTCTTGGTCCACTATTCGTCCTCGTGACGTATTGATAAGCACACTCCCCTGTCGCAGGGTTCTGATCTCCTTCTCTCCAATCATACCAGCTGTGGATTGGTTGAGAGAGACATGTATACTCAGTACGTCAGCTTGCTTGCAGAGCTCCTCCACGCTCGAGACATATTCGCACCAGTCTGGAACGGATTCTGCCTTCCTTCGTGAGAAGTATATGATGCGCATCGGAAAGGCGTGCGCAAGGCGAGCGAATCTCAGACCAATGCGACCTAAGCCGAAGATCCCAAGCGTGCGCCCAGTCACGTCGTGAGTTTGCGCTGGATTAAAGAGTGTCCTCCATGTACCAGAGCGAAGGGAGCGTTCGGCCATCGAGAAATGTCGTAGGCACGATAGCATAAGGTATAAAGTGGCAGTGGCAGTGGCATCCTCATTCGCTCCTGGAGTATTCGACACCATTATTCCTGGGAAAACACACGTTAGTAACACTTGGTTCTAATCGGAAGCGGACATTACCTCGTTCTTTGCAGGCTTGGACGTCGATTGCATCGTAACCACTGCTACTCTGAGCGATCCAGCGGACCTTGCTCGTATCGGCTAGAGCGTGGATTAATGGCGCGTCAAATTTTCCTATAACTTTAGAAGATTCGGTGAGCCTGTACAAGGCGACAGTCCCTTCATATGGCCCACCGGGCCCGAATGATGAGAGGAAATGAGAACGAGATTCTGAAACCAGATGCTAAAGAGGAAAAGGGATGATGACGCATAAAGCTAGAGGTGCATTGAAAGGGAAGCTAACTCACTATGACTTCGGCGATCCCATGAAACATCTCCTTCAACTCATCCTGGACACACTCAATCTCGCCTGAAACACGTGAGTCAGAGTCTGAATGATCATCGGATGAACCTAGACACCAACCACACAATAACACGCGGGGGAGCATTTCAGGTTATGCTGCTTATCGCAAGCCTTGTGGCGGAGGACGATACTCGGAAGCTGTTATCTTTCGTTAATTCAACACGTGCTGAGGATATGAGACTAAAATAACCAATGGACATGCCACGAGGTCGCTCATATTCCACTCGCATAATTAAAAGCTTGAAGGTAAACAAATTTGGGCAAAATCGTCACAGGCACATCAGACTATCACTTTAACGTTATTTCTGTCAGTAACAATTCAACCTCGTTTGGTACAAGTAGAAGACCGCCCGTTACTGACACTCCATCATCTGTCGAAGCAGCGTCAGACACATAGATTGAAGGTATGCAAACACCAGGATGAAACTTGCCAGAGCAGCACGTAAGGCTCGTATGCGGGGTGGTATTGCGTGACGTTGTAAACTTCACCAGGGGCGGCGGAAGGGAATCGCGGATAATCGGTTCCGTTACGACTAGGAACCTAAGTGCGGTGAAACATATCGATCTTCTTCGCCTTGACCGGCGAAAGCAACATCTGAAAACGATACATTCAGTGACTTCCTCGGATATGTCGCTCAAAGTCCACGTCAAGCATCATGATGAATTCGGTACGAGTAAAGAGACGTGCAGCATTTCGCCAAGTATTCAATTGACGGTCGAAGGGTGTGAGAACGAGGTGTATGTTGATATCGCGTGTGTTGACGCATACAGGTCATGCAAATCATCCAGAAGGGTGTATGTTGCACTAGGTTTGACATGCGCGGTTGCAGAAATCAGACCTTTGACAAACAATTTGAGAAAAGATTGAACACACAAACGATCTCAAGACTGTAGAAGACCTTGGTAAGTTGTATGTTCGGAACGAGGATGCAGGCCAAAGTAATATTTCTTGATACGTTTTGCCAGTGACCTTGGCCTCTTGATGGACTTGGATAGCGGCTGTATCGTAGGCCAAGCTCGCAAATGTCTGTAGTGGAGACAATACGATCTGTTGCATAGAGGACCGCGATCATCGCAACATACAAAGAAGCTGCCAGACGGATAAACCTGAGGTCACGATCGAAATCTGACATGCGGCAAGCAGTGGAATATAAGTGTTGTTAGTCTCTGAGTCCCTTACGTGCAGATTGCAAGGAGAGGCCTGGGTCCTGCAGCTTACCCAAGCGAGCACGGCCAGAAGTGGCGTGTTCAAGTTTATACAACGTTACCTTCGTCCACGCCAATCAAACAATGACAGATACACCAGTCTCGACCTGCTTCAGGTCACTTACTTCCTTGTTACTCAAAACTCCGTGAGCTATGTTAGAATTGCCTTGTTAACGTTACAGCTCATGTGCTCCGTCGTGCCCTGCGATGATAGCGCAACTATCGAGGTCCTCCCTGGTGATGCCTCCATCTGGATTCCAGACGTTGAAGAACGATCTCGTTCTCCTTTTCTATTCACGGAGAATAATCTCGGCGTACCTGAGAAAGAACTTCATCGGTCATACCTCTTCGCCGTGCCTGTCTTCTCTGCTGCCCGTAAGGCCTCCGGACTTCATACACTCGAAAATCCATCCAACCACATCATGTCTTCGGCGATTCAGGACTTGATCGATTCTTCTGCTGTCCTCATTTTGATGAATCCGGCTCACCAAACTGCGCTTAATGCTAGAAAGCAACTTATTGTGCGGAACCTCATCGATGTGGGGGAGGAACTCAAGTTCACAGCCGCCCTACTTTCGAGTAGGCACTGTTGCAAACAGGGCGAGCTGTGGTATCACAGGAGATGGCTCCTCAGACGCATATACCCAGTCCCAAGCTTTCCTCAAGGCTTGATTACTGACATGATTCCTGATTCACTGAATTTCTACCTTCCCCCGAATGACCTTCCTGCGGAAATTCATCTTGTCAGTAGAGCTTGCGAGCTCTATCCCCGCAACTATTTTGGCTGGATCCATCGCACTATATGCATTCTATCTGCCCTCGTACCTGGAGTGCATTCTACCACCTCAGACGTGTTCACTGAAATCTTTCAGAAAGAGATCAGCAGCGTCATGCAGTGGATTGAGTCTCACGTCTCCGACTACAGTGCTGTCCATCACCTTAAAACCCTAGCGCGTCTCACTGAAGACGCGGAAAGCCCATTCCTGCCAAAGAGTCTACTTCTCGTGTTCGGACATGCTCTCACGCTCGTACGTGCATTTCCGGAGCATGAAACGCTTTGGCAGTATCTCCGCGTGTTCTGGGACGAGGGGGATGTCGCTACAGCGTTCGTCGCGTCATTTGTAATCCCCCTACAATGTGCTAGTATGACGGAGCAGGAGAGCGGGTCTCCTAGTGGCGTGCAACATGCCTGCCGCTTCCTTGAGTGGAGGAATCAGAGGTTGAAGTGACACAATTCCTTGTATTGTGCAGCGTGTACTGTATATGCTGCCGATATCAGCTCATGGGATCGGGCGCTGTTGTCGCTTCGGGCCCCAGCTCAAATCAATCGCGGTTGTCTCGAAGATCATGCGGTCATCAATTCATTCACACCAGTTGTATTCACCATTAACCAATACGTCACCGCCACAAACTGATACTCTTCAGAATATGTTCATTCCATTGCAACAAGGTTGTCTTATAATCTTCTTCACTTCATGTAACAGACTGGTGTTACTGGCCTAATATATGCATGGCCAGTCGATATGTATAGTATGACACTGTTGGTGACACTTCAGGCTCCGGAGACTCACCGTGCGCAGTTCTGCGCTAGTCTCCGGTATCTGACCCAATATAGGGTCAAGCAGATTCGGCGCAGCTAGGGCTAGACTTAACCTGACTCAAGCGCGTTCGAATTAGTCGACCGACATCTGGTTAATTCATGTCTGTAAGTACCATGTTAATAGTATATAACAACTGACCTCACGTATGCATATGACAGCAAACAGGGTTGAGCTGTGCACAATAGCACATTCATGATTGGCAGTGAGAGATAACGAGAGATCATTTTACTTCTCTTGATCCATGTAATCGGCGGAAGTCGGCGACACGCACGTTTGAAAGTGCGCGACGAGATTGATACCTTGTAATGCGATATCGAGTGCGACTTTCTCAACTACCCACGTTGTTGCCCACATTGGAAATGAGCGTAGCTGGTCAGACGAACAAGATCAATCAGATCAAAGGGACCTCGGGGGATGCTTTCACTGTCGGACATGCAATAAACAGTTGTTCGAGCAGGCTAGTTCCAAGGACATCTACAGCCATGGACCGGGGAAATACGGTGGAGGTCCTGGATTGTTTTGCTCGGAGTCAACTTTACGGATCTCTACGGCTGTTTTGATTTCTGTCGAACACATCGAGAGCGCGTCTACATAAATAACACGGTGAGTGATCAATCGAATCGACCTGAATTGCCCTTGCACCATACTTCATTCATTATGCTCTTCCTGAGCTTTCTTCTATTGTTACCTCTAGCACATGCAGCATCCATTATCCCGCCATCCTACTCCTATTTAGAAAGTCTTGTTCGCATACGCTGGGCCCTGAAACCAACTTAATAATTGCTAATACTGTAGAGATACGACACTAGGTTCGTCACAGGTCACAGCCCTTAACGAATCGAATCTATTTGGTGTGACTGTCACATGAATTTTTGGTGGGACGAAGCTAATTTGTGACATATGGGAAAAAAAACATAGGTTATGCGCTAATGGGACCAGAAATCATCATACATCGAATTTGCGATGCGTCTACGCTTTCCACGCCCGTAATCAACCTTCGGAACACTATTCGAGCCACTCTCCACATCTTTGGCAGTAATGTCACCCACATCATAGACTTCGGAGTGGTTTGAACACAGAAGTCCGCCATCTGCATCGATACGGCAGTCAGAGTTGCTTGAATCACGAAGCAGCATGTCAGATGGTTGCAAACGGCGTTGCGAGCGGCGAAGCACTACGATCCGCAGGCGAATCTATTTGGGTAAGGTCACAGGTCACCTGGACATTCGAACCTGTAAGACTAAGCGTGACATCGTCACGGGCTGCACGTGACGAACCTAGTGTCGTATCTCTACAGTATAGTCATAGCTCCAGATGCTTGTCACAGAGCGAGTCTGGCATCTACTTTGCTTTATACTGCCGTGTTATATACTGCTTCAGTCTCTCGGTTCGCAATAAAACCTGTCTGAGACCCCCGAGCATGAATGCATGAAGCTGGGGGCCTCCGCTTGCCTTATCACTCAGTGTGAGAACTCATCAGCGTAAAATTGAGGAAGAATGGTTAAACGTCACGTGATGCGTGTCGCTTGAGATCAAGTTGTAAAATTTTGTGGTCTTTTCTTCAAACGCACTCAAGTCAAATTGCAGACCAGGCTTATCGATCACGCTGGTCTGCGCCAAAGTAGGGCGGACACAAACGCTTGCACATCTTAGTGCTTTTGCTTTTTTCTCCCACTTTCTCTAAGAGTTAAAGCAGGCCGGTGGTTCATACAAACATCTCTTCATAATACCGTCCGTTAGCAGTATATGTATCTAACTGGATAATAACATTAATGGCTGCGGAACTGCTGTGCTCACTGATTTTCATGTAATCTAAGATGCCATCGGTGGATTACTTTGCCAGACTTTCGAGTACGATCAAGACAATTTTCCATCAACAGTTGGTTGAACACTCCAACGACACACTCAGGTTATTTGTAGCATTCCAGCAATTTCCTCGCATAACCAGGCCGGCGCCAGACCTCAACGTTCATCGCATCATCCACTGTCAGGATAGTGAACATCGTCTCGAGTCTCGACATCCTCAATCCCAATTGCATCAAGGATAGAATGGACCTTTTTGCCGTGAACAAGTGTCGCTTCGTCTCGGAACATCTAGAATATGCTGTATTTGAATGTGGCTAACAGGTTGGGTGTGCACGAGACTGCAACAACATGATCAAACAAGCAAACTTACTTCTACTTCCATAGGCACCAATGCAATTAAAGGAGAAGCGATAACTACAGATTTGTCGCCGCGGAAGTGGCAAAGAGTACCAAAGAAAAGGCTTGGAGCAAACTGAGCACGTGTAGATCTGGTCGACAACGTACATTGTACCAACGCATTGCAGCAGACGGTACGTCATTCATCATGCAAATTCACTGTATTCCGCAAACAAAACATTCATCAAGATACTAATAGTACATTCGTTCCGCCAATCTGAGTCATTCGCCATCTTTCAACATCTGCTTTGGTACGAGAGCGGTGCGCACAACTTCAAGATATTCAAGCAATGGTGATGTGAACGACGAAGGACTTTCCGTCGGCCGCCTCCTGGACGTACTTCACATTCACCTTGGTTCCCTTTGCGCTGGTCTTCTGGATCTCAGACAGTTGCTCCCACAGCAACTTGTTCTGAGCGGTGCCGTCCGTGTAGTACTCGGGGTGGATCTTCATTCCCGTGTCTTCAGGTGTGAGGTCAGTGCTGATGTCGCACCACCTCTTGTAGTTGTGGATGCCTAGCACCACGAACAACTCCTCCCCGGTAGAGCTTTTGAGGCGGAGTCCACCAGACGTACCACTGCCACCCATGGTGAGTGTCTGGATCGAGTCTGTGTCGGACCACCTCCCGCCATTGGCGTAGTGCCAGACGGTTTTCTCGGCGAGCGTGAAATTGGAGTTGTTGTTGGTGGCGTCGATGACTCTGACTACGATTGTGTAAGACATGTTGTTTCTGTGGGGTCATGTCAGACAACGATGTCACGATGATATGCAAGGCTGATATCTAACCTGATTGTGAAGAGGACGGGATCTGGAGAAAACAGTGTACATTGCAGGCTCTTTATACGACGAGCACTCGTTGCCGTTAGCCCTGACCCTGGACAGTCAGGGCGAGTCCCCCAGCTGTTGGTCCAACGTGGGCCAGGTGTGATGACGAGTGCTGTGGCCTCATGATCATGAGGGCATGTTGGCTTGCTTCCATTCATGCGTGCCGGTATGTCATTCCATCTCCGAGATGTAACAGCAGGAATCACCGCATAACTGACGATTGCCTTGGAAGGTTAGGTTTGAACGCTAAGAGAGACCCGGGCGAGCTGGCCACTCTTTCGGTACACGAAATAATGGTGAAGATACGGCAATTTGCTGAGCTTCCTTTATTCAACATTCGCCTGCCAAGCAGAATTTCAAAAAAAAAATGCTAGCGGTGAGTCGAAGCCACTGTCTGCATGTAAATAATCTGACTATGCTACCGAACTACTGAGCACCCCTTGAACAAGAAAATATGATATTGGGGATAACTCTCCGCCCCGACGAGACTCGTGTCTGAATTTATTGACTGAACCTTGACTTTGCTCCTTCTGTTCTTCGATTTGCGCTGACTGGGGATTCAGGCTGGGGCGAACAATTGTGCCTGGCAGAAATCGCTGGCACTTCTGCCCCTAGGCCCCGGAGTGGCCATTCCCCGGACGTTCTCGCTCTCGTAAATAACGAAAGTATACAAGCACGAGTTCAGTCCATGCAACGCCGAATGGAGTCGTGAGTCATCGGGGACAATTAGAGAAAAGAAAAGACGATCAAGTTGCGCCTTTACTACAACGATGGCCAGACTGGGAGGAAATACGAACGCTCATTTCCAAAAAAATCACGGATCTTGGCGTTATTGAATCCATTAGGGGAGCAAAACGCTCAATGCCCAATGCCTATTCATGACCGAGACTTTCTTATGTAATTCAAATGGACATGATAGACCTGTGTTATCATGCTTCCATCATTATGTTCCCATCACATATATTGCTTGATATCCGCACTTCTCAATGCATGGGTTTTAAGTTCATTTGTTTTTGGACTTAATCAACAAGCTGTATCCAGACGTAATCAACCGCACATAAACGTCGACGAGTCCATCACGGAATATACAGCATGTAACGGAAGAACGATATCTTCGGGCGCTTACCTCGAACCTAGTGTTTGTCACTGTAACGAAGAAGTGCCTTGCTCCTAAATGTCGCATTGTACTGCAACAAATTATTGATGTCCCGGACCCAATTATCCTCTTTTCCAGGCCAAACGCCTTCTTCGCCTGGTTGTTCGTCTCCATAATCGGATATAGAGGAGCGGTTAATGCAAGGCACTGGCTATAGTGAAGCCTGTATAGTAACTGACTCCCCTGGATTAAGAATATGCGATACACGCCCGTCCATCGAAACACCAGCCGCAGCACGGGAACGATCACCGATCTAATAGTGTCAATCAAACATTTGAGTAATAGCTCCCACGTGTTGTCATGATACACCGAGCGCATGACTCACACGCAGCGTTAAAGATGAGGATGAGGGGAAGACGAGAGGTCTAAAAGATAAAGGCACGAGCACTACAGCACTCAAGGAAGGATGTACGATAGGCCCTCCAGCTGAGAGAAATCATGCAGTTGATCCCGTAGGAGTTGACACGATCACCCCATCAGACTGCGGAAATCAATTACGCACCGTGCTTGCCAGGAGATGTTGCCCGTCTACACAGATATCGATGGTATTAAGGTGTGGACTTGACCCACGGTGTAGCGCAATCTCATTCGTGACCTGCCATTCTATGATTGTGTCAGCATCGTGGGTACATACTTGCACTGTTTTATCCCGACCATCGTCACCGAAGCCTATTTTTTGCGATCCTTGTCATAGAACATGCACGACAAACGCATGCGATTGAGAATGGTTGCCTTGCCCTGAAACACTGCTTCGAGCCCTTTCACAAAGTCATCGATATCTATCGCATGTCCTGGCATTGGCGTGTGCACATACGGAATGGAAGGAGAACGCCAAGGGTGCCCATTGAAAAACTTAGCACAGGAGGGACCGCTCCAAGACTGCAGAGTGACGTAGCCTGGAGAATGGTACCGTCATCTCCAAGAGTTACAACAAGATCAATTTTCTCGGCATGAGGCCCTGTGATGAATTTATTCAAACAGGTTGTTTCGGCGTGTACAATCTACTCACCGGGACGCCGCACTTGTGTGGCGAATGGATTGTCTGGGCGGTCTCCAGAGAACATTTCAAACCCGGATATGTCCTCGCTACATAAGTGCTATGGTTGACACGGCACTGGTAGTAGGCGTTGACGCGGCATAGAGTGTGGTTGTTGATATCAGTACAGAGACTGCGAAGATGTTTGGGAGAACTTGTCGTGGTGTGAGTGGTGCTTGACCCAGCATAAACGAGGCTTTTGATATGTCATGGTTGGGGCTTGACGTGTTGGTGCAGAGTATGGAGAGTGGATCGAACTTGACATGGTGAGGTAGAGGCTTGACGCGGTGAGACAACACTTGATACTGCGTCTGAAAACCAACATACATGACCGAATTAGAGGTAATACAACAGTACAGGACTGATGCGCAAGATGCATACTAGGTAGTGTGGACGCAAAGGACAAGCACTGTAAATTTGGTGAGAAGTGAATACAGCACTATAGAGCCTGTACGCAGGCAGGCACTCATATTTTGATCATTAACGAGGATTTAAAGTGTTTGGAATAACATATGAAGTTGTTTGAACATAATCCGTACCCTAGAATTTGTTACAGTGCCGCGTCATGGCAGGCGCGTCACGATCGCGGCAGGACCACGTCAATTTCACCTGGCCCGAAGTCAAAAGTAGCGACGGTCGATTTCGTCTTTAAGTGTGGAGACAGCGTCGAAAAGGAAAAGAAAAGCTCGTTGCGCAATGCGCATGGCTGGCCATAGCAGTTAACACAGTGACTGCCAGTAACATCAACAAAAGAGCCCGAAGCATATAAGGCCTTGTGAAGCTTACATGAGTACACAAGTCTGTTAACCAGCTTACAAGGTGCATATAAGGTGCATATAAGGCATTAAATTTTGATACAAGCCCTGATATCCAACATATATACTTCGGGCAGCATATATTGACATACATGTTTCAGGCTCTTTTGTTGATGAAGTAAGCTTGACTTTACACAACTGCACTCCGTCCTAATACAGGACAATAAACAAGGATATAAAAAAAACAAAAAAAACCTAACTGCACCGTGCCGTTCAAGTTTACATGCCACACCGTGACCGATGCATCTTTCTTCTTGCCACAACCTTGCGAATTTTTTTCACTTGGTAAAACATTCGTAAATCGACAAAGAACTCTCTTTCGTCGAATCCGAAGACACTGTATGATATTCTGGAACTTTCCTTCTCTGCCGCCACTGCCAGTATGGCAGTATCCTGTGTTGATTAAGTTACGAGCGAACTTCTGGTTTGGTCACAGACTCAAGTGCTTACAGCTTCCCAGCCCGTCGCGACAGGACGGCCTGAATCAAGAATATATATACTACAACTTCGTTCAAGCAAAGAGGCGTACTTCACGGATCAGTCCGAATGGCATACAGTGCAAGTACGCGGCCAGTGCACGAGTACCCAAGTCCTTCAAGTACAATTTAGTGGAATGACTGTCTTCCTCTATGGTCTGGACTCTGGCTACTACTAGGCAAGACTGGTCCGAACTGGGAGTGGTTCCTTGGCGTTGAAACACTATTCGCGACTGTGTGCCTGCCGCGGCGTGTCAAGTACTACTGCACAGTGCACTACGCTATAGCCAACTGGGTGGCTGACTAAGCTAATACCGTGCTACCCGGGTACTAGCGTGAAACATTGAAATCGACACTCTAGACTTAGACTCGAGTCATCGCTATCATGTACCGGGATTGTACTCTGATCAATATGAGGTGTTTCCAGTGATCCAATTTGAAGGTGCATTAGGCTATCTACGAGGTTACGCTCTCGACGACAGATATGTCACCCTTGGCCCAAGTCAGCCCCGCCTTGCTTGGCTGAAGCATCGAAGTATGGTCACGGTGGTTATCGACCCATCTTTCTAGTAAAATCTTTTTTCAGGTCCGAAGAGGAGCGCCTTCTCAGAGGCTTCTGGCGCTCGCATAGTGTCAACTCTGGAAGATCTGTATAGCTGGCGGTAGATCTTATCAGGTCCTCCACGATTTATACGTCGATGACTCGTGCAGGATAAGCAATTCCGAACATCTAGAAAAACGTTCATCAAATCGTGGCGAGTCGATTGGATGCAAATTTGCTCACTTTTTGAGACCGACTTAGCAACACACATCGATGATAGACCAAGCAGGCAGTTTCATATCATATCATTCCTACAGCTACAAGAGTTTGCGATCCGAATGGTTTTTGCCGTTGGTGAGAACTGTGGCTCCTTGAATGTGCGCATCACCGGTGTATGTGCCTCCGTAAGTTACTACATCACTGTCTGGTGTCACTTGACTTTTCAAACTAGATGAATTCGAGACAGAGCATATGTGAGATCCCCCAACAAATCTATAATCGCCACTTCCCCTCCTGCATCGACTCCTGCGGAGGTAGAAGTAAATTCGCTTCCTCAATCATGTTGTTCAGTCTCAAACGTGCTCAACCTGTCAGCCGGGTTAAAATACAACGTGCAGCATATTCAGGACGTTTTGAAACGAAGCGGTACTTGTTCACGGGGAAAAGGTCCACTCGATACTTGAGGAAATTGGGATTGAAGATGACGAGACAATGTTCGCCATCCTGATCATGGACGATGAATGGTTGAACGGTATGCTACAAGAGGCCAAGTGCCCCAACCTCGTGGAGAAGTATTCCGTCATTCAAGCGCAAAATAGCGAGGTAGAACGTTCACGATCGATGTTTCCTATTCGATCATTCAATGAGATCGTTCACAGGTGATTGTTTTATTTGTTACCGCTACATGTTGCGACTTATGCATTATCACACAGCCTTTGGGCATGTTGAGCTTCTTCAGTTCATCCGTACTGGTATGATAATCTATCTCCGAGATGCTAACAGCAGGAGTCACCGCATGACTGACGACTACTTCGGATCTCAAAACTGAACCACTTCTTTTCTTTGGAGGCTACATAAGAGATGCTCAGGCACGCTGGTCACGAAACGATGGATATACGGCAATACTTCTGAGCTTCCATACGATCATCCATAATGAATTTACGTACAAGTTCAACATTTGACGTACGCAACGTTGAACGTTCGAACCCCTAAGATCCTGAGTGAACGAAAATAAATTTTAAATCTCGATGTTGCAAGATCCTTCGGCTTCTTGGAACTCCATTACTTTTCACCTGACCGGACGTATTCTTATAAATTATTCAACACCCACCTATAGAACAGAATTCCGGAGAATCGAACTGCTCTCGGTAAGTTGAAGCCACTGCGACCAGTCTGACGTACATAGGAGTGGGGAATTTTGGCCTGCATATGAATTATTTATGTAAGTACTCCGCCGAATTCAATCACCCCCCTTCATGTCAACGAATGGGGAAATATGATATTGGGGAGACGAGGCGAATATCCAAGTGTTTCTGAATCTGACTATAGCATGTAACACGATAGCGTCCGACTTCGGGATCAAATTGGTTCATTGAGGTATGCGAGATCTAATTGCAAGTAGTTCAAGCTTCGAGGCCATTTTCGAACCATAATACTATTTAATTAGTAAAACACCTTTGACATACGGCTGCGCACGCTTCGCACCTCCTTTTTTCATAGCGGAAATGAGCGTTCGTATTTCCTCCCAGTCTGGCCATCGTTGTAGTAAAGGCGCAACTTGATCGTCTTTTCTTTTCTCTAATTGTCCCCGATGACTCACGACTCCATTCGGCGTTGCATGGACTGAACTCGTGCTTGTATACTTTCGTTATTTACGAGAGCGAGAACGTCCGGGGAATGGCCACTCCGGGGCCTAGGGGCAGAAGTGCCAGCGATTTCTGCCAGGCACAATTGTTCGCCCCAGCCTGAATCCCCAGTCAGCGCAAATCGAAGAACAGAAGGAGCAAAGTCAAGGTTCAGTCAATAAATTCAGACACGAGTCTCGTCGGGGCGGAGAGTTATCCCCAATATCATATTTTCTTGTTCAAGGGGTGCTCAGTAGTTCGGTAGCATAGTCAGATTATTTACATGCAGACAGTGGCTTCGACTCACCGCTAGCATTTTTTTTTTTGAAATTCTGCTTGGCAGGCGAATGTTGAATAAAGGAAGCTCAGCAAATTGCCGTATCTTCACCATTATTTCGTGTACCGAAAGAGTGGCCAGCTCGCCCGGGTCTCTCTTAGCGTTCAAACCTAACCTTCCAAGGCAATCGTCAGTTATGCGGTGATTCCTGCTGTTACATCTCGGAGATGGAATGACATACCGGCACGCATGAATGGAAGCAAGCCAACATGCCCTCATGATCATGAGGCCACAGCACTCGTCATCACACCTGGCCCACGTTGGACCAACAGCTGGGGGACTCGCCCTGACTGTCCAGGGTCAGGGCTAACGGCAACGAGTGCTCGTCGTATAAAGAGCCTGCAATGTACACTGTTTTCTCCAGATCCCGTCCTCTTCACAATCAGGTTAGATATCAGCCTTGCATATCATCGTGACATCGTTGTCTGACATGACCCCACAGAAACAACATGTCTTACACAATCGTAGTCAGAGTCATCGACGCCACCAACAACAACTCCAATTTCACGCTCGCCGAGAAAACCGTCTGGCACTACGCCAATGGCGGGAGGTGGTCCGACACAGACTCGATCCAGACACTCACCATGGGTGGCAGTGGTACGTCTGGTGGACTCCGCCTCAAAAGCTCTACCGGGGAGGAGTTGTTCGTGGTGCTAGGCATCCACAACTACAAGAGGTGGTGCGACATCAGCACTGACCTCACACCTGAAGACACGGGAATGAAGATCCACCCCGAGTACTACACGGACGGCACCGCTCAGAACAAGTTGCTGTGGGAGCAACTGTCTGAGATCCAGAAGACCAGCGCAAAGGGAACCAAGGTGAATGTGAAGTACGTCCAGGAGGCGGCCGACGGAAAGTCCTTCGTCGTTCACATCACCATTGCTTGAATATCTTGAAGTTGTGCGCACCGCTCTCGTACCAAAGCAGATGTTGAAAGATGGCGAATGACTCAGATTGGCGGAACGAATGTACTATTAGTATCTTGATGAATGTTTTGTTTGCGGAATACAGTGAATTTGCATGATGAATGACGTACCGTCTGCTGCAATGCGTTGGTACAATGTACGTTGTCGACCAGATCTACACGTGCTCAGTTTTCTAACATGACCTTGCGAAGGAAAGTGAGTTGATATATGCTTACTACAGCCGAAGCGAAGTATGTTCCGTTAACAGGACAATCCATTGGATTAACAAACCACATCACGATGCATCAGTACTACTTGCAACGCAATAGCAACTCACCATAGGCTACACCAATAGCAAGATGCCACTAGACCTTGCAAACGTTGGACCCTCCAACTCTGCCATACTCGTCGTCGACGTACAGAATGACTTCGTCAGCGGCAGTCTCGCCGTCCGCGATACACAGCAGGTCATCAGTCCCATCAACGCACTCCTGAAGCTCCCATTCGCCATTAAAATTGCCACCCAAGACTATCACCCGGCCGACCACATATCCTTTGCGCGCAATCATGAGGGCAAGAAGGAATTTGACAATATCGTCATCTTCCCTCCCGCAGAGTTGGTAATAGGGAGGATGCTTGAGGAAGGTCACTTGAAGGGCTAGAACAGGTGCTGTGGCCTGTTCATTGCGTTCAGGACACTTTTGGGGTAGCATTTGTGGACGGCCTGGAGCACGAGGACCTGGAGGTCGTCCGTAAAGGCTGCGATGTCGGGATCGAGTGCTATTCTGCATTCGAAGACCCGTGGGGACTCACGAACACTGGACTCAAGGGCAAGCCGAGGAACAGAGAGATATCAAATGTTTTCGTGGTCGGCATAGTGGGAGATTATTGCGTCAAGTCTACTGCACTTGATGCAAAGAAATACGGGTTCAGGAGTGCTCTACCCGTAGTACCGTACCTCGTTAAAAGAAGCCTCCCCGAGCGTCCTCCGAGTCAGGCCGGTCATCATTCACGTAAACAAATTAACAACCATGAAAAGAATTCTCACCCGCAGTGAGTTGCAATTGGATTAGACGTAGTAGTATATATACTTTCCCGCAGTTCCGATTCCTGCCATGGCCTGATCAAGGGCCCGCTTTCTTTCCAACCCACCTTATCCTATTCAATCTAGGGTGCGGACGATAAGTCAGCATGTTAATAATCAAGTGCTTATGGAAAGTCAGACAACCGTGCTCACATTTGTAAGCATTTTTAGTCACGTGCATCACAGAGACACCGAACACCTTAGTAGGGCATAATTAAAGTATATAGCAACGGAGAATTCAAAGTACAAAACAAGAAACGAGATGTCCATATATTGTGCGCGACATTTCCCAATCACATCTGTCTCTACATATTCATTCACTGGCTAGCCTCTGGTTCCTCTGCCGATCCTGCTGGTAACCGTTCGAGTCCAAAGCCACTCCATGTACAATAATCGTTACAAACATGCTTTGTCTGGAACGTGCTGACTTTGACCTCTATATTGCCATCACCAAATATGTCCTTGCCTTGGCTGACTGAACTAGAGTTCTTCAGTAAGTGTGTGCTTGTCTGAAATGGAGATCACATACGGGTGCGTCAGGACTTGAGGGTCTGTCAGAATCTCAGCATCACCTTGAATATAATATTTCAAAGCTAAAATCAATGTACAATATGAAAACGTACGCACCCTGATAGTCCGATATGAAAGCCAAACCACCAGTCTTGACGTACTGGATGTGCTGTGTACAAGCCAAAAAAGTGGCTATGTCATAGCCAAACTCATCCACATCAAGCAACGGATTACAATCCATATTGTGAATATATTTGATGAAGTTCCTACCATCATCATCACCAATTAGTTCCTCGAGCAGAAATCCGGCCCGAGGGGAACATCCTTTGGACTTCTGGTTAGGATCAGACGGCGCCTGACTGTATGACAGTGTGAGGCCTGCTTTAACAAAGTGCAGCCGAGGGATTGTGAAGGGTGGAGGGTCGGTTGAGCGGGCAATGCAGTGATCAATGTAGTCATACGCGAACTCTAGAAGTGGTCCCGCCCAGTATAACACGTTTGCTTCTCGAAAGAGCTTCGGAAGTTCATCAGCCGCTGCATACTGCCTGATAACATACTTTCCAGGGGCCTTGCTGCTTCCTGGAGGGAAGATCTTGTGAAAAGGTCGCTTGACTGCGACTTTCTCGCGGGGGCATGAGCCAAGTCCCGAATCTGGAGCCGCAAAGAGTGTCAGCCAACCAGGATGCGCTGTCTTGAATCCACCAGCACCCAGCATGTTGTCTGAGGATATATCGATGGTAAGTTGGCCATTATAGCATGCATCAGGGTCCAAGCAAAATGTGTGGTACTGCGGCTCATCCAAAATCTCAGACAAGGGGCGCTTTGGGATAGGAAAGAAATGTATATTTTCGTTCTGTAAATTAAGAACTAGAACACACATTAGTTTAGATATGATAGATGATGTTTTCTCCTACCTCGGTGGACATCTAAGTCTGTGGTACCCCCAGACTGTAAAACATCCCTCAAATGATTGCGATCAGGGGAGCAAAAGTTTGGCGCAGGTTTCTTGTGAGGAGGTGATGAAGGAAGACTGCTACTCGGAGTCTCAGATTGAAATGGTCTCTTTGAAGACACTTCAGATGATGGAGCAATTGTGCTGTGAAACAGTGGTAAGGTGACGATTGACGAGGCAGTTGGTATGATGGTTGATGGAGGACCACGATGACAATTGAGATCTTCCTAAGTATGAGAGCGATTACATGTAAACATGAGATATTATATTAGACGGCAAAGTACGCACCTCTTTGATCTTATCAAGCCATGATTCATAGTCGTTCCACTGAGCCATGGGTACAATGACGAACACCGTAAACTGCCTTGTCTTGAATACCATAGCACGTGAACCTTTGCAAGTAGGATGCTGGCATTGCGAGTAAAAGTACGGCACATTTGCAGGGTGTCTTGCCAAATCAACCCAGGCGCCATCACGAACAACAAATTTGTCTTGCCGCCACAGAAATCTTGGTGCGAAAGCCTCAATCTTCGGTCCGATAGTATCAAGTGCAAGCGCAACAAGGCCAGGTGCATCGATTTGGGCATCAATATCCTTCTTGCCCTCGCAGATGTTCTGAAAAGATATAAGTCAAAGTTATGCTCCTACTTAAATATGACGTACCCCAAACCCAACTCCACAACTGCCCTTCCTCTTGTTGCCACCCTCTCAAACTGCCAAAATCTCTAAGCTGATGGTCTCTGCGGGAGGAATAGAGTACGTTTGCTTAGCCCAGTAATCTCGTTGCGCATCATACTGTGCATGATTCACAGAGTAGCCAGGGAGCGGAGCAGCGCAGCTGGCAGAGTGAGATTGCTGAGGACGGGAATTCTGACGCCAGCTGGATGGGATAACTACCTCGGGCCCTGTCCTCAGTGCAAGTGAATTGCGTCCATAGGATGTTGCAACCACAGGAGGCACCTGTATGGACGCTGAGGCATTTCAACCGCTCAGCTAGAAGAGGGAAAGGTAGAACAAATACTGACAAGATCGCTGTGCAGCATTGACGGACTGCTGAATATTCTGTGAGTCAGGAGAATGTCTGCGTGCAGGTCTTACTCTGGTGGCAGCCTTGCACTGGTAGCGCTGGTAACATGCCCCACAAACAAAGTGTCCGGGTTGCCCATGGACTAACATGGCAATATAGAAGCAAGGTTGTCCCTTACAGATTTTGGCGGCACATGAGGGGTGTTGGCATAGACGGTCTTCTTGTGCAATAGCGTCTTCAGTGAATTGTGTAAATACCTCGAGAGACGCTGTAGAGACTGACATCTCTGTGGCCTCGTAGAGAGCTAATTCTACAATGCCCTAAAACACCTTCCAAACACAGCTCGACCCATATCCCATCCTGCGCACTTGGCGCTTCGTCAGCCGCTCACGTGCACAGGCACTTCGGTCGCGCATCGGCGCACGTATCCTCGGTTCCGTTGCTCGTCCTCTGTCCATCCATTCCATGTCCGTTCGGTTCGTCGGTGCGTATTCCTATTTTATTCTCATGTATTCTGACATATCTCCGGCGCTTGCGCACATATTCTGTATGTTTCGTCATGGACCCTTATTACTTATCATCACGTACTCACTTCGCTTTCCGGCTCGCTTTAGTGCTTGACAGCGCTTAACGCTACTTAGAATATATATATACCTTGCCTCTATGTAGAATGATTATCTTCTTCTTCCCGCACAAAATGTTGGACTCTAAGTCTAAAATCTCCATCGAATCTGCCGACCGACACTAAGCGCCAAAGCCGACACGAGCGCCAGTTCGCATACTCTTTATACAAACGTCGTCTTACCTGTCTCCTGACTCACTTAAGAGTCGCTGCACTCCACCACCCGCACGCACGCTTCGCTCACACTCAGCGCACCTCACTGTACTTATCGCTCAGTAGCGCTTCATAGCGCTTTCGCTCTTCGCGCTTCGCTCATCGTCGCGCGCCTCACCAGGCTTATCCGACAGCCCGGTTCAGTGTTTCCCTCCACTATTATATATAGAGGAACCTTCTCAGTAGCAATCCCCTTGGGCCGACATTAGATTCACGCACAGAGGACCATCTGAGTATATTCATACTACCCACTTCTTAGCATTCTACATTCCTCACCTACAACACCATGGAGAATGGGGAGAAGATACTGATGTTTAACAAATACCAGACAGCTTAAATACTTGGGAACAGAGACGCTAAGCCTTGTGTCAGAGAAATGGGCGATACTCATCCGGTAGCTACAACTCACTGTAAGTCCTTGAGTCGCATGATAGCCTTGTCCAAGTCTTGGACATTGCCTTTAGTGATGTGCCGGTCCAGCTTGAACTGGTGTACAGTCAGTTGCAGCATACATACTGCAATTGCTAGACTCACGCTGCAAGACCAGACACCATAAGACCAGGGTCGAACACCAGATTTCCTAGTCTCGCCATGCCTTGCATTCTGAAGTTGGCGAAAGTTGGCTTCAGATGGTCTTGGAATTGAAAAAGTCTGAGTAGCTGTTGCAGTCATCATGTCTGTCGAAAGAGATCACAGGTTTGAAAGAGAGAAATATAATGAGTACTCACTGGATTTGACTTGAGGATGCAACGTGAACGTCGTGTTGATCATTCATTCCCTTTAGGGACATTTGACATTTAGATCACACGTGTTGATCAGAACCGGGCAAGGATGGAAAGAATGGCAATGGCTTACATCCTGTACTCATTGAATGCTTCCCTTGGCACGCAGATAAAGGGGAGCGTGTCTGAGGTATGGGTCCTGGAATGGAAATATTGGAGGGTGCGAGAAGGCATTGACGAACTGGAGTTGAACTTCGGATATCCTAGGAACAAGTTCAGTAAGTCCCTGTCCAGAACGCTCACCATCATTGAGTCCCTGAGACTCCCGATAGTTAGCTTCACCGCTCTCATCTTTTTGATATACCAGTTGGTATGGGTGGCTGCTGATTTGCAGAGTTGCGGAGCTGCAGAAGTGACTGCAGCAGCCCTCGTGTGGATGCTGTACGGCATTTGAAGTAAGTACGACATGATGTACGACATGCTGAGTATACCGGGCTGGAACAGTATTTAACTGCGCTCTGCAGCCCATGAAGCTGTCAACTATTCAATGCCTAATCAGCATAAACCCACCCATATGTACCTACTATCTACATTGGCATGCGTCCAATTCTGACAACAGTTTTCTAGCGCCGCTAGATGAGATCGTGCCTCACATTATCCGTCTGTGGAAGACACGCCAGACTGACCGGAACATTGTCTGCATCCTGCGGCAAAAGCATATCGACACAGAGCGCTATGGTATTGGGTGTGTAGACTTGTGTTAGGAAGCAGTAGTTGTTACCATCTAACTGATCTCTTTAGACTCACCAAGTTTAGAGAAATTCGGGAGGGCATGGGCCTCCGACAGACATGCCAGCAAGGTCATACCATAGAGTCTATCCGTGACACTGTCTTACTAGGATGTGATTGGCAATAAAATCACCAGTTCTCACTATCCTCCACGGTCAACAGTTCAGACAAATACCAACGGTTGATAATGTGGTCGTTCGTGGGAGGAGGCATAAATAGCAGTGTCAATCTAAGCAAACTTCTAATGACTTTAGGTGGGTTGAGATAGTGACTGTTAACTGGCTTGATGCAGTGCTTAGGATGCTAAAGATAAAGATCGTAAATGATGTAGCCGAATCGATAACTGGCTTGATGCAGTACTACGATGCTACTAAAAGAGGATTGCAAAGGTGTGCAATATGAAGATGAAGATATGAATCACACAGTACACAATGAATCAGAGTAATATCTTGTAAACACTCCCTATTCTCAAAAATTAGAGGAGATCAAACTAAGCCTCTAACACAATCAAATCAACCGAAATATGTGGCTTTGAAACTAACTTCTCTGCTGCTCAGGCACTCACGATGAGTATGATGCAGAATCAGAACAGAGTACACCCTCTTGATGTAGTCTTAAAGCAGCCAAGCTCTTAATATTGTTGAATAAAGTGCTAGTCTTATTTGTCATCCTCCTAATCGTTAAAAATACGTAAATTCTCCCCACAGAAAAGGTATCCTGTGTTGTAAAGAGAATGTGACAAAACTACAACTAGATGACTGATAACCATGTACCAGCTAGTGTAATTCAAGGATTGGCTCAAGGTAGGCCTCAGAAGATCAGTATGTTGTGGGAAATGATGACAAAAGAATGGAGGGAATAAACTAATATTCACTCAGATGTTCACACAAATGTAGGGTGAGAAATTCAGGAAGATACTCAAATCCTCCTCCCTCTCTCTAAAAGGGGGATGTCTGTCCTCTCAAAGGAAGCTTATTTCAAAAGGGAGATTGTCATTATTCAGAGGGGAAACTGGGCCCCTTATATACTACTCTAAATGTGGCTGTGTAACTATCTATTTAAGGAAATATGACTCATCCTGACTCATACTGAGTCATATTAAAGATGACTCATAGTGACTCAGACAGAAAATGACTCATAATGACTCATACTGAGTCATAGTTGAAATGTCTTGTTCACTTCTCAAATATTCCCATCTATCAACTTTCTTCCTTCAGTTTCCTGACTAATCCATCTCATCTTACTAATCCATTTCATCTGACTAAGCCATTGATCACACATGAACTGTTGAAATGTTGGAATGCTACCATAAATATATTTCAGAACATACAGAAAAAATGTGAAGAATTGTAAAAAAAACAATCATAAGATTGTGAGAGAATGCTGAATAATGTGTTGTGGTATGTTTGGAACTTATCTTTAGATTGGATAAGTGTTAATTGAATTATCATGTAGTATTATGGGTTTGTTATGTCTGAAAATTACTCAAATCAAATCATAATGTGTTATAGAAAATTCTTAGTAATTTCATAAAGTGTAGTAGAGAACATCAAAGCTAAAAAGTAGCCATGACCATGCACAAAACAAGTTTGGTGTGTGTCAACACTATGATCGATCTCCGTCAGATGTATCCGAAAGCTGGAATCCAAGAGGTGATCAGTCTCCTGTTTCATGAAAGGGATATCAGTGTTCCAAGGTCGTGTACCACTTAACTCCTGCATTTGTTTGAGAACTGATTGATATTTGAAGGAGTGTAGTATCTTTGTATTTTGCTGTCTACGAGCCTGAACTCATCCGTGAACGTAAAGCTAGGTCCCTCAAGAGGAGGCGCTTCTGGGCGGCTGGCGTGAATGATCTATTCGCGGTCGACCAACACGACAAATGGTTGAGATTCGGTCTCGGTCTCCATACTGGGATCGAACTGTTCTCTGGGTGCATCATGTGGATTCATGTGTGGCATTCTAACAGGAATCCCCAGCTCATTTTATCTTACTACCTCGATACAATCGAGGAACTTGGTCGTTCATCCTTTATCTCATGTGAATTCACTGCCATGAGACTAATGTTATACCACTGTAGATATGCCGTTGATCACTCAGAGTGATCCAGGTACTGAAAACTTCGGTATCGCCAATGCTCAAACTCTCCTTCGTTAGCACTATGATCTCGACCTTCAAGGAATGCTGCAGCACCGCTGGATGCATTCCAAAAAAAATGTCATGCCCAAAATTACTTGGTCTCAGTTACGATGTTGATTCACCCCAGGCTTCGAGATGTTACTTGATCATGGTGTCAATGAGGATTGGTATGATATCGGAAACACTCTTCAAAAGTTCGTGTCATCCTCATGATGTGTGTGATAAATCTAATTTCGCGCATCTCAGTATGGTATTTCGCTGGGTTTTTATTCCTTGGCTGCAGCAAGAATTGGATGCGTATCGGGACCGCATCAATAATACAGCCAAGAGACGTGATCGTAACAAGGCAGGTACATTTAACATCAGTGGCATCATCTGACCTTCTATCAGATACTCCCGCATGGTGTCCCAAGCCTCATTTATGACTCCCCCAAAGACTTCAATGCATTAGATTTCAAGGTCATCATAGACCGTGACGGCGTGAATCGTGTCCGTGAACTTTACATCAAACCTTCTCATCCTGTGTTCAACATTGTGCCACCCACACTCGGGAACTTTATTCAGGATTGCTATGGTCGAATGGGGAGCCCTGAGGTCACATGCTCGACTGTTTGGATGGTTTATAGGAACTTACTGTCTGCCCTGCAACTTGCGGATAACGTACCACCCAGTTTATTACCAAATGAGGCTGATGAAGATAGTGCATTGCCTTTACTCGAGGGCTGCTCTGATTTGCCCTTCTGGGAGGAGCCAAACGGCCCTTACTATATGGGCGGTGTGGGCAGTGGATTAGGCTTAGGTATGGAGTATTATTTCTGTTCAATTTGGCTACTCATTGACGTCCGTGAAGACACTTCCCATCACAGTGAGCTGGACGCTCTAGCTGATGCAGATGAACCCAATGTTCCACTGCTGCATGGTCCCATCGAACAATCAGACTTCGATCATACAGGGTTAGTAATTTGGGATTTCTCAGACAACGAAAGCATCGAAGCTGCAGATGAATGGTGAAGCATTTTATACTTTGATTAGATCATGTCACCCACTCTCAAGCTGGACTGGTATTAGTTTGCTTTGTATCTTGGCACTTCATTATCTGGGTTTGAATTAAATATTAGCCTGAACAATATTATGGTGTTAGGAGTCCTTTAGAAGCTTGTGCCATATATGGGATTTCACGTGACCAAAATGCTTACAAATGTGAGCACGGTTGTCTGACATTCCATAAGTGCTTGCATAGGGTTATTAACTAGCATGTTATTAACTATCACGTGACCCAAAAATCGAAAATTTCGCTCCACTCGGTGTCCATGCCTTCTAGGTCAGCATCATCCTCCGCAGAATCGCGGGTACTGTCCTTTCACATAGCGCTTGAACTGGCGTACAAAAGCTTCACGAACATCGGCAGCTGTTTTTCCTTTGAGAGCGGTGAAGGTACAACAATTCAGATGGTGAGTCTGAACAATGTTGGGTCTTGCAGAACCTAGCTGCTATTCGACCCTAAAGGGTTTCTGGACCAGGCTCAAGGCTCAGAGAAGAGGAAATATGATAGAAACTTGCTGAATACTCAGACTCATAGTAGAACTGGTGAAAAGGTAACTTCCTTATGTAAGCTACAAAAGTGCAAACATAACACTAAGGTAAAAACAGTCTCTGCAAGCCCAGCCAGAAATGAATCCCTACAGCGGGGTTGTGTTGGGACTTGAACTCGGCTTCAATCACAATCTTGAGGTACTTGAGAACTTGGACGTAAGTTGGCGATGTGAGGATATTGGGCACAGCTATTGAAGGAATGCAAGGGATCTTGATTTTGAGAGAGAGCGGGTTATGCAGGATTGCACTGCGAACATAACCTGTCTCATGTGCGATAAGAATAAGCATTCATCAAAGGTGAAGAGTGAGTAAACATACGTGGATCTAAGCATAAAGCTGCAAGATAGCAGTCGGCTGGTCCGTCTTCGAGCTGTTCATGAAAGTGATCTGCGAGGAACAGCGGAAGATTAGAATGCGACCCACCAAGACCATGGGGGTCGACAGACTTATTAGCACCATGTTACCACCCCATGGCCGTGTGCCTGTTAATAACACACCTTTTTTAGCAGTGTTATTAACAACCGACTTTTCGTCCGTACCCTAATTCAAATTATTATTCAATCACTGTCTATCCTTCATGATTTTGAAGTCGAATTCTGAGCATGCACCACGTGCATTCAATTTGCTAATTGGTAGTAGTACGACTCTACTCTTGTTGGGCGTCGATCTTCCTCTAGCTAAAAAAAATTCCAAATACTGACAGAATACAACTTCACCCAGGCCAGGGATGGAACTGTTTTTACGAGACCTGTGACATATACATCCCAACTCCATGCCCAAGAAAGCTCAAAAAGAGTGCTCATTTGCTCTTGAGTAGTAGCCAAAGTCTACTAGGGGTTTATAGAGAAAGACCTGAAGGTGTGAGTTGCATGAATTATTGTTTATACTCCCTTTCAGATGGTTTGGATGACCATCTGGACGCTGCAATGACAATCACAGAAGGCGAGCGTTCTACCTCGCTATTTTGTGCTTCTTCCTTCTCATCGCTTGAATGGCGGAATACCTCTTCATGAAGTTGGATGATTGGCTTCTTGTAGTATACTTACAATTCAAAAGTTCATCATCCACTGTCAGGATAGCGAACATCGTCTTGAGTCTCAACATCCTTAATCCCAATTGCATCAAGGATAGAATGGACCTTTTTACCGTGAACAAGTGTCACTTTGACTCAAAACATCTAGAATATGCTGTATTTGAATGTGGCTAACAGGTTGGGTATGCATGAGACTGCAACAACATCATGATGATCAAACAAGCAAACTTACTTCTACTTCCATAGGCACCGATGCAATTAAAGGAGAAGCGACAACTACAGTCTACGGCCGTTTTTATTTTGGTTGAACACATCGAGAGCGCGTCTATATAAATAGCAGGGTGAGTGATTGATTGAATATCAACCTGAATTGCCCTTGCACTAGTATACTTCACTCATTATGCTCTTCCTGAGCTTTTCTCTATTGTTACCTCTAGCACATGCAGCATCCATCATACCACCATGCTACTCCTTCTCGATCACATACGCTGGGCCCTGAAACCAATTTTTTTTTTTGGCATCAGATTTAGTCCGTGGGGTCATTGACCCTATGTTGGACGTGTTTCGTCATGTGCATCTTTTTCTTTATGGGACGAGGCATGTGTATGTGCTGGTGCTGTGTATGATACTGACACGTACTCCCCGCATTGCCTGGTGGGGCAGCGCAAGTAAGTACAAAAGGAATGCTGTGGCGGGAAATGGTTAGTAGATTGCGATGGGTCAGGAAGAGGCTCGCAAGTGGCTTAGTGTGCATATGATGTTGTGGTCCGATTTCTCTGTTCCTTGAGTCTACTGATTTCTGTGTGTGCCGACAGTGTCATGTTGGTGCACGGCTATCCTTTTTGTGGAGAATCGATACAAGCGGGAGGCTTCGCGACACGCTAAACAGGTACAAATATCTCAGTATTCATTTATGAAACTCTATTAACAAAATGTTGTACCTAAACAGGTACAAATCTACTTGTACGTCAGTACTCTACTCAAACGTTACAGTGGGACAACAACTCACATCTCAGTATTCGTTTATGAAACTGAGATGTTATGACTTTGGCTGGCTCTTCTTATACGGTGAGTGTGCCAGCAAGACTTTTGATGAAGACATATATACTTAAGAATGAAAAGATTGCCAACGTTGACATGTCGTCCACATTCTCCGTTTGGAGACACTCACACTCGATGTGGTTCATTCTTCAGCCGTACTCTCCTTCTCCCCTTCGGCTCTGTCTCTCTTGGCCTTACGCTCCTCGGATTCATCGGCTCTCAACACTCCCCCTCGAGCGCTATCCAAACACATCAATGTCCGTAACCTCTGGAGTCTGGGACATGCTAAGGGCTTGGTGAATGCGTCCGCAACATTGTCTTCGCTTGGGCAGTAGATGATCTTGAAGGTGCCGTCCTTCACATGTCCGTGCACGAAGTGGTACCGCAGGTCGATATGTTTGGTATGTGATTGAAACTTGCCCATTGAAACTAACACTATAGCTGCTTGATTATCGCAGAGTATGGGCGTAGGGAGGTCGTGGATGTCGTAGAGCTCGCACATGAGGAGTTGTAGGTAAAGTACCTCTCATGCCACGCTGGTCAAGGCAATATACTCAGCCTCTGCCATAGATAGCGCTATAATGGGCTGCTTGCGCGCACTCCAGGAAACGGGGCCTCCATTGAGCAGTACAATGTACCCGCTCATGGAGTGCCTATGAGGCTGCAATGCCCAATCAGCATCAACAAAGGCCTCGATGCCTCTGTCGCTGAACCCCAGCGTGAGTTCATATTCAGCGGTGCCTTTTAGATACCGCAGGGCGCGTTTGGTAGCCTCCCAATGAGGTCTACCTGGATTCCTCATGAATTGGGATAGGGTCACCACTGCAAAGGCGATATCTGGCCGGGTACTCGTAGCGGCATACATCAATGATCCGATTGCGCATTGATACAGCACATCACACATAGCTTGGAGTTCGGCGTGCATTGCAGGAGATTGTTCCACGGAGAGAACAGTGCCTGGTTCCATGGGTGTGTGGAGGATTTTTGTGTCTTCCAGGTGGAATCGTTCGAGGATCGTGTCGACATACGCTTTCTGTGATAGCGTCAAGGTGCGTGCAACTCGGTCTCTCATCACCTTAAGGCCTAATAGCCAGCTTAGTTCCTTTAGGTCGGTAATTTTGAAGTGCGTGCGCAGCTCGGACTTGAAACGATGGATATGGGAGATATGGTTGGTGGTGATGGCCATGTCATCGACTGACATGGTGATGACGATGTGTTCGTTCGAGGTGCGTTTAAAATAGACTGCTTGATCTACCTTCGATCGACTGAACCCCATTTCGTTGAACGCTCCAGCCAGTTCTTGTGCCCACTCGTATCCGGCCTGTTTGAGTCCAGGTAAGCTCTGTTTCAACTTTAGCACCTTTCCTTCCTGACCATCCTTCAGATATCCCGGGGGCACTCTCATGTAGATTTCCTCCTGCAGACTCGCATATAAATACACACTTTTAACATCCACCTGATGTATCTCCCAGTCACGCTGAGCCGCCATCGTTAGCACGGCACATATAGTGCTCATATTGGCTGTGGGGGCGAAGGTTTCGAAGAAATCAACCCCATACTTCTGGCGCTGTCCATTGGCGACTAGACGCGCTCAAAGCTTCAGTTTCTCGCCGTCCGAGCCGTGTTTTGTGGCCAGGACGTAATGACATGGGATTATATTTATGCCTCAAGGTGTGTCTACAATATCCCATGTGCCTAGCTTCTCGAGTTGACTGATTTCGTAATCTATGGCTTCTTGCCATTCCACAGCGTCCGGGCCTTTCAAGGCTTGTTGGAGGGTTGGCTCTGGTTGTACCACTGCCAATGCCAGGTGAATGTGCACCTCTTCATCTAAGAGGTCGAGTTCTGATGCTTCTAACAGGTTTTCCATGGCGATGGCAGCCTTCTGGCCTTTGTTTAGTGCCGTGTAATATCCTGGAGGTGGTCTGGCCCTCGTTTCCCTCGTAGGAGGAGTAGATGGCTGAGGTTGCTGGCCGGTAGATGGCTGAGGTTGCTGTTGCGGTTTGGTGGAGATGGGCTGGACGCTATTAGGTGAGTCTTTATTACTATTGCCGCTATTATGTTCGTTGACTGCGGCAGACTCCCCCTCGTCCAGCACACCATCTCTTACCTCCATTGGTGGGAAGGTAACGTTCCTTTCCACCGAGACACGTCGCTTACCTGGCCAGTACACCCGGTAACCTTTGCTTTCGGCATCCACCCCCACAAATACAGCCTCTTCCGCCTTCTGTTACAGGCATCCGTAACACCTACAGGAGCCCCTGCTCTGCCTATGCCTGCCCCCGCTTTGCTAGACTCCCCACACAGCGGTGCGCCGCCCGCGCTTAGAAAGACAGCGGTCTGGACCGCTGTGACCCCGCCCCTGGCGCTATGACCCCGCCCCTGGCCTAGACGGCCTTGTACCTGATCCATGGAGGCTGTACGCCTCATGGTCACCCTAGATTAAGTGCATGTATACAGCATGTCACTTCATGAAGATCCGGAGCGCCCTTGGCGCCTCATGTACTTATGCGCAGTCGCACTTGGCGCTGCATGCTTGATCAGAGGTTAAGCCTCATGTACTTATCTGAACCTCATGTCTTGTTATCATAGATCCTCGATATACTATAGATTACAGACTGAGCTAGAATACCTATATGTAGCACATATAAGTAGACAGATTATTGTACTTAGACTTTACTTTAATCTACTAGGTTCATCCCAGAACTTGTTCAACTAAGCCTCTCAGCTTTCTTGTATAAGACCGCACTTCTAAGTCGCTCCCCGCTTCTTAGCCATATCCGCTAGCCCTGTATCTCAACGAGCGCCGTCTTACCAAGATCACCAGAGGAACCCTTGACGTTCCGTCAAGCCGAGAACCACCCTCAGCTTCAGTAGACTCACTCGAGTCGTCGCTGAGAAGACCTATCCTAGTTCGCACACGCCGACCGACGGTCAGTGTAACACCTTCACCTCCAGCACATGGATGAAAACCTTGGCCCCGAACTCATGGGCCTGGGACAGGTCCGGTTTGGACTTGCGCACCAGCTCATAGGGCGTGCTACCTGGGATGGCTCTCGATGGTAGGTGGTTCTTGAGCCAGGTGGCGTAACTAATGGCCTCAGCCCACAGGTATTTTGGCATATCCTTGCCCAGGAGCATCGCTCTCACGTGCTCGACCAGGGTGTGGTTGAGGCATTCTGCGACGCCGTTCTGCTGAGGTGAGTTGTGGACCGTTAGTTGGCGCCCGATACCTTGCTGATGCAGGTGATTTTCGAACTCTGCGCTCAGGTATTCTCCTCCCTGATCCGAACACACTTTCCGCAACCAGGTTCCCGGCATCTGACGATCAAGCCAGGCCTCGTAGGCCTTGAAAGCGGTGAGTGCTTCGCTCTTTTGTTTCAGGAACTGCAGCTTCATTTGACGACTAAAATCGTCCGTGAAACTAATACAATAGCTGCAGCCTCCCAAGCTCGTCATCTGTGCCGGCCCCCATAGGTCCGTATGGACAAGTTCACCATAGGTAAGTGCTCGTGTCTTCGTCTCCTTGGGGAAGGACTGCCGCGTTGACTTAGCTTTCACACAGGCTTCGCAGAACTCGGCGGCAGGCACCAGGTCAATATCAATGCCCTTGATTAGGCCCTTCTTGACGCAGTCAAGAAGGGCCGCATGCGATATGTGTCCCAGGGAACGATGGAGTTGGTTTATGGTAGGTTTTGTCGTGGCAATGTTGGCTCGATGCTTACACTCAGATGTCACAGAGTAAAGTCCTTGGACTTGGGGAATTTCCGTGATGGTCCTTTGTTTTGGGGTAGCAGATAGTATCTTGCACATTCCCCCTTCGAACAGTATGGCCAAGCTGGCAGACACTATCCTGTTGGTGGATATTAGGGTGAAAGCCATGGAAGGGGCATAGAGAATGTCCTTGAGCATGACAGTTGTCCACTTCAGGCCCAATGGTAAGTCTATCTTAACGTCTCCGCATCCTGTCACATTGACAGTAGAGCCATTTGCAGTGTAGACCTTCTGCAGTGGGATATCGACGAAGGTCATGAATTTGGCCCTATCG